ACATTGAAAGTTTTACAATCTCTGTTAGGTCTGTTAACATTTGCTTCAAGGGTTATTCCAATGGGGAGAGCTTTCTCCAGGAAGTTGGGGATAGCAATGTCTAAGGTTAGGTCCCCATTTGCACACATTAGGGTAACAAAAGAATTGAAGCAAGACCTTAAAGTATGGCATAATTTCCTAACAGATTTTAATGGAAGATCAATGTGGCAACAAGAGTTTATAGATTCGGATAGTCTTGAGCTGTTTACAGATGCATCTGGTGCTATTGGTTTTGGCATATATTGGAATGGACAGTGGTGTGCACAAGAATGGCCGATTCTTTGGGCACAGGAAGGCTTAACCAAAAACTTGACATTGTTGGAATTGTTTCCAATTGTAGCCGCAATATATCTATGGGGAGGAGCATGGAGAAATAGGCGGCTGATCGTCACTTGTGACAATCTAAGTGTAGTAATGGTAATTAATTCCTTACAGTCTAGGTGTAATAGAGTTATCAATTTACTTAGACACTTAGTGTTAAGGTGTTTTCAGCTGAACATATGGATAAAAGCTAGACATATACCAGGCAAAATCAATAGGCTGGCTGATGCTCTCTCACGATTGCAATTGCAGGAATTTCGAAAATTGGCACCAAGAGCAGCTGCGGAAGGAACCCAGTTCCCGTCAGACCTTTGGGATTTGATTGGGGACAGTTAAGTGTGATGCTGATGAATTCAGTAGCTGTTTCTACGTGGAGTACATATGTCAGAGCATGGAATGAGTGGTTCAAATTTAATCAGTCAAACAATAAAGATCCGTTTGGAGAGGACAAGGAGAGCGCAATACAATTTACATTGGTGTCAATGCAGAAAGGTTTCTCTAAGTCCAAGTTAGCTTGTAGTTTAGCCGGGGTGGATTTCTTTAGGAAGCTGTGTGAATGTAAACCAATTAAGCAGTATTTCATAGTTAATCAGTTAGTTCGAGGTTATAGAAGAGCCAGTAGAGTAAGGGATAACAGAAAACCAATATCGTTTAAGGTGCTATCACAGTTATTTGTAGTCCTGGAGGAAGTATGTTATTCTGAGTATGAGGTAGTTTTAATTAGATGTTCATTTATAATAGCTTTTTTCGCAGCGTTAAGAATTAGCGAGTTAGTGGCTAAGAGTAAGTTTTGTTTGTCAGGTTTACAATGGGAAGATATTATAGTTAATGATAGGAAAGTGATGGTATTCATTAGAAAATCTAAAACAGATCAGGAAGGCAAAGGAAGATGGTTAACATTGCTGGAGATTAAAGGTTCTTTTTTGTGTCCGGTTAAGGTGACAGAAAATTACTTGTCAATTAGACCAAGGGTTGAAGGTCCTTTTTTCATGCATAAGGACACCGTTCCGTTGACTAAGTTCCAATTTAAAAAGGTCTTCAAGTTGTGCATAGACAAGTTAAAGTTAGGCGATGAGCGTTATTCATCTCATTCTTTTAGAATTGGAGCGGCAACAGAAGCAGCAAGGTGTGGTTTAAGTGATGGAATGATTCAAAGGTTGGGGAGATGGGAGTCTAATAGATTTCAATTATACGTCAGGCCTCATTTGATATAAAAAAAAAAAAAAAAAAAAGTTAACGGTTCTTTGTTATTAAAGTTTATGGATGTATATGAACATTGGCGTATATATGTTAATAATCTTCTTTTGCTAGGTAATAAGAAGCCGGCGATTGCCTGGGTAATCGGTCATTCATTTATATTTTGGGCCCAGAAGAGGGCAAAAGAACGGTCATATGGCGAAAATCTCGGATTAGAAAGCAATGCTGTTAAAGTCTTTTGGAAAGGAATTCGTGGGGCTAAGTGGTCTCAATTATTTGAAATAATACAACAATGCATGTTAAGTTTTCCCTATCCAGAGGTAGTAATAGTTCATTTGGGAGGGAACGATATTGGCTCAACGAAATCGGTCAATTTGATAAAAGAGATTAAAAGTGATTTGGTATGCATAACGCAAATATTTCCAGATGTTCGGTTCATATGGTCGGAGATTATCCCAAGGCATTGCTGGTTAAAAGTAAGTTTTTTAAAACCATTGGAAAGGGTACGTAGGAAAGTAAATAGAGCGTTGGAAAAATTTTTACCAACCCTGGGAATGACCTCATATAGACACAGGGATATTGAGGGCAATTGCGCTGGCTTTTATAGGAGCGATGAAGTTCACTTGTCGGATATTGGTTTGGATATATTTAATTTGGAGATTCAATCCATGTTGGAGATGGCCGTGGGCGTTGGGGGGCCACCGAGTTTGGTAGCCCAGAACCTCGGTGGCGTTGGGATATAAGTCGCCCTCACAGGCGGGTGGATTTGGTGGATTTGGTTGAAGAGATATTTATGGCTCCTGGCTTTGGAGGGGGGCGGAGCCTTGGAAAGTGGTTTAATATGTTGGTTTTAAAGCTATGGTTTATTATTATTCATATGGTTATGGTTTAATAGGAATTATGAAATCCATAATAAAGGTCCACGGCCATTCTCCAAGGTGTATCACTAAAGTTATTAAATAAACATTTTGATTGAAAATTTCTGCTTGTGTTTATTTATTTATGTTTCACTTCGATTACAACATTCAAACCTCATGTCGGGCACGCGGACTGCTTAAGGAGAAGCCCCATGAGGTTTGATGGAGCGAAGTGGGTAAGTATAGCGCTCGCGCTAGGGGTTAAATGCAGGTTAGGGTTAAATACAAGGCAGCTCGCGCTGGCAGTAAAGGCGGCAAGCTCGCGACCAGGGCATGAGCCCTGATTGGTAGATAGCAGCGCGAGGGCAATATTGGAGGGAAAATAGGGGATATAAATTGGAGGGCGCCAAATTAATTGCCTCAGATTGTGCCAGACAAATCCGAAGGTTAGCTATATATTAAAATATTTAAGCTGCTGTTCCCACCCACCCTTCCCCCTTTTATTTATTTTATGTCGTGACCTTATTATGGGATATAAGTCGCCCTCCTGGTCATCACAGGCGGGTGGATTTGGTGGATTTGGTTGAAGAGATATTTATGGCTCCTGGCTTTGGAGGGGGGCGGAGCCTTGGAAAGTGGTTTAATATGTTGGTTTTAAAGCTATGGTTTATTATTATTCATATGGTTATGGTTTAATAGGAATTATGAAATCCATAATAAAGGTCCACGGCCATTCTCCAAGGTGTATCACTAAAGTTATTAAATAAACATTTTGATTGAAAATTTCTGCTTGTGTTTATTTATTTATGTTTCACTTCGATTACAACATTCAAACCTCATGCTAACCCTCCAATCTTACCACAATTAACATTTAACTTAACTTTTGCTTGCTGGTGTGACTAGACTTCTTTAACTAGCTATAAAGAGCAGTTCAAATAAGATACCCACACAATTGTGATTTTGCTAGTTTTACCCAGGTACCAGTCAATATTACGGTTTAATGGGTCATAATCTGTGGGCAATGACATCTTCAGAAATATTATATATGCTCGAAACACTATACAGGCAATATTGGAGTGAGTGGATGGGAAATGCCATACATGTTCCTGATATACAAATTCAAATTGTATAAATTGGTAATAATGAAAAATAAAAGGGGTTGATTTTTTGGGGGGGAGGGGAGGGGGATTTCAGAAAGATGTGTGGAGAAGCTACTATAAACTGCTCAAGCATAAATCTAGATGTAATCCCACACAAAGCCTAGACTTGTTTCATACTTCAGACATGATAGTATGAAACTCAAAATTGTACATATTTTGTAGAAAAAAACACTGCATTAGATAGTAAACCGGCTTAGTCACCCAAAAAATATATATTTTTGAGCATTTTAGAACATTAAAAATCTTGTTGGAATTTTACTGAATCTTCAACGCAGTGATAAAATTCTAACTTTAGGAACTGTAGTAGGAACACCGCACTCTCTTCCAATACTTGCCTGGACCTGAGGTGGGTAAAACCTCAAATAGTAGGTAAAAGAACAAGAAGGTCCACGCATTCAAGGTTGTATATAAAGCAGACTTATTGTAGAAATACATCAACATTTGATAAAGACCTCAGTTAAGGTCGATATGTTGATGTGTTTCTCTATCTATATGTTTTTTTTTTATTTTACACAATAAAATAAAATAATTGTACATATCAATAGTAACAAGTAGTAGAATAAGTATAGAATGTAACGATTACAATATTAAAGGACCACTATAGTGCTAGGAAAACATACTCGTTTTCCTGGTACTATAGTGCCCTGAGGGGGTGCCCCCACCCTCAGGGCTGGATGGCGAGGAAAGGGTTAAATCTTACCTTTTTTCCAGCGCCGGGCGGAGAGCTCTCCTCCTTTTCGGCTGAATGCACATGTGCGGCAGGAGCTGCGCGCGCATTCAGCCAGTCTCATAGGAAAGCATTCATAATGCTTTCCTATGGACGCTGGCATTTTCTCACTGTGATTTTCAATGAGACAGCCACTAGAGGCTGGATTAACCCATTGATAAACATAGCAGTTTCTCTGAAACTGCTATGTTTATAAAAAAAAGGGTTAATCCTAGCTGGACCTGGTACCCAGGCCACTTCATTAAGCTGAAGTGGTCTGGGTGCCTATAGTGGTCCTTTAACTCATATTAACCAGCTGTCTATCACTGCCATCATCCCATTCAGGAACACTCAATAATAAATCAGGACACATTTTACAATGAATATCAGGGTGAGAATCTTTATTTATTTATTTAGTGGGCCCCGCAGCAGTAATGATTCCTCCCCTCCCAGTGCCCGGTGTTGTAACATGCTCTTCCACTGACTGAGGAAATGGCGCCGCAGCATCGCGTGATACCCTGGAGCTCCAATGACGTCAGACTCACGAAGCGGGGGGAGGAGCCGGAGAGGGAGGGGGCGTGGCCGGCGACCGCTTGAGAAAGGCGAAGAGGCGGAGCTCGCCCACTCGGACGTGTCTCACGTGAGCAGTCAGCGCGCGCTCCCGCCTCCTTCCTGTCTTTTCTCTCTCTCTCGGTGTGTGGCGGCAGCAGCGGGTGAACGATGCCTCGCGGTTCGATGGAGGTAAGCGGGCCCGGCGCGGTCTGTGTGCGGGGAGGGCGGCGGGAGCTGGCTGTCTGCGGCCGGGGAGGAGGACGGTCTCCGGGAGGGGGGTGGAAGCTGGTGGCGGCCCGTGTGGGATCCCCCCGGGAGTCACGTGGGGGGTGAGTCCGGCGGGAGGCTGGGCTTTCATTCACCGGTAATACCGAGCATCGGGAACCGGGCCTGCAACGTGCGGCACCCTGCCCCTCCCCCACCGCCTGAGACTGGAGCCTGAAAATGGCCGCCGTCAGAGAGAGAAAATGGGAGCCGGCCGTGTGACTGACAACCCCCCTCCTCTCACACTGCCGGTAACCGGATCCCTCTCACACTGCCGGTAACCGGATCCCTCTCACACTGCCGGTAACCGGATCCCTCTCACACTGCCGGTAACCGGATCCCTCTCACACTGCCGGTAACCGGGTCCCTCTCACACTGCCGGTAACCGGGTCCCTCTCACACTGCCGGTAACCGGATCCCTCTCACACTGCCGGTAACCGGATCCCTCTCACACTGCCGGTAACCGGGTCCCTCTCACACTGCCGGTAACCGGGTCCCTCTCACACTGCCGGTAACCGGGTCCCTCTCACACTGCCGGTAACCGGGTCCCTCTCACACTGCCGGTAACCGGGTCCCTCTCACACTGCCGGTAACCGGGTCCCTCTCACACTGCCGGTAACCGGGTCCCTCTCACACTGCCGGTAACCGGGTCCCTCTCACACTGCCGGTAACCGGGTCCCTCTCACACTGCCGGTAACCGGGGGGGGGGTCCCTCTCACACTGCCGGTAACCGGGGGGCCGTGCAGCTGCAGCCTTCCACTACCGGTAACGCTGTGGCTGGGCCCCGCTGGGAGATCCTGGCCCCATGTGGCTACAATCCCACTAATTCTCAGCCATAAATACATTTTGGGTTCATGCCAGGGAGAGTAGGTTTCCATTTACAAAGTGTACTGAGAAAGCTTGTCTGCTTTGTAACTGCTGTGGTAGAAGAGTCAGTGGTGAAAATATAATCCTCTAAAGAAATGTATTGGAAATGGTTAGTTACTCATGTTACACTAGAAATCAGATGGCGCTGGTTAAAAACAATCCCCACTTTCAATACCCCACAAGCTTATCCTGGCTGCAGAGGTCTTGTTTCTGGGAGTTCGTACTGAAATTTAACTATTTGGAGAAGAGGGATAAGATATGGTTAACTATAAAATATGACTTGTTGTCTCAAATGTTACTGGTTTGTATCATAACAAATGTTTTGAATTTCTTTAGGAACACTGGACTTCGTCTGAAGACCAGGTACTTATGCTTTACTTTATAAATGATTGGGTCCCCATTACATTTCAAACTGACAGGCACATGTATCACTGGTGACTATAAAACAGACTGCAAATGTAAGCTGCAGGCAATTGTGCAGCATTTACACACTTTGTGGTCTCCGTTCTTACTATAACTGGGCCACTTCAAGTGATATTTTATTCAAACCATGTTCTATTTGGTTTTGGGGGTGTCCTTCTCTGCACCTTTTCCTTATTTACCATGAAAAGCATAGTCTGTGTATTTAATTCTTCCCTGTCCTCTGCTAAGAGCACCATGGTCTTCCATATACCTGTTGATCTGGGGAATAATAAATCTTTTGTTCTATAAAGATTTCTAATGTTGTTTTTGTTTTTTACAGGGACATGAGCCTAAGGAACCTGAGCAACTGCGTAAGCTGTTCATTGGTGGCTTAAGCTTTGAGACTACAGATGATAGCTTACGGGAACACTTTGAACAATGGGGAAAGCTAACAGACTGTGTGGTAAGTTCTAAATACCAACTCCAATGTTTAACTTAACGGACCACTATAGTGCCAGAAAAACAAACTTATTTTCATGGCTCTAGTGTTAATAGGCCCCCTGCCGCCAGGGTTAAGGGGGTAAACTCTTACCTTTCTCCAGTGCTGGGCTCCCTCGGCGCTGGGGACTCTCCTCCCTCTTCCAAAGCGCGATCATTCAATCAGTCACTGGGAGACACACAAGAGCCTGGATTAATCCTAATGTAAACATAGCATTTTTTTTCTGAAACTATGTTTACAGCTGCAGGGTTAACCCTAGATGGACCTGGCACCCAGACCACTTCATTGAGCTGAAGTGGTCTGGATGCCTATAGTGGTCCTTTAAGGGACACTCAAATGTCCATTCCTGTATTACATTTTTTTTATTCTTTATTTTTTGTTGTGCAGGCTTGCAATGCCACAATAGCTAGTGCCAGCTCTTCAGGAAACAGGATTTAACAATTTTATGGCAATGTGAGATTTCAGCTCAATTTTATAGTATGATAGTCATGCAAGGCAAACATGTTAAATGCAGGCTACTAGTCTAGACATGAGAACTCTGAGTGATATGTTTTCCGACCTGTAAGACCAACCTAAGTGGGGGAAAAAACTGCTGGTGCCTAGTTAACTGCATAGCTACCATTTTACATTACGTGAGAATTCAAGATTAAACTGTAGTGGCTGTGGGTAATATGGTCTCCCTTTACCATCTAGGTGACAGGCATTATGCTCACTCCAAGGGGGAGTAAACTAGAGGCGTTGCTTCATATAGATATAATGGCAGGAGGGTGTAGTTAAATATGAAAATAGAGGTTAAAAAAGGGTCTGGAAATACATGTATTACTGGTACTGAACCTAAAGTCAGGATGAATGCTCTATACGGTCTGTTTAAAAAAAAAAAAAAAAACTGAGCAAAGTAAACGAGAAGAAACGAAATGAGATTGTATCTGGAACTCTCACTGGGTCACCCGCTCAGGTAGTAGGCACTTTTCCTGAGGCGTCAACCCACTCCCACCATCGGCAGAAATAGTGGGGAATACGGTAGGCCGTAAGGGGGTGCAGCTTGTCGGTGTAGGGCTTCACATCCTCTCCAGATATAGGCAAAAGTTGGCAGCTCTACCTTACGAGCTCGAGAGTTCGCGCGGAGTCCAGATCTTTAGTGTACACAGATGCCTGGTGTTTCCCCGCCGTGGGCGTTGGAGCAAATGGGTGAAGAAACGTGGCTTTCTGCCATCGTGGGAGATGAGGGGTCAAGTCCTTGTTCCGCTTCTTAGGTGTGCTCAATTAGAGGAGCAGGATTCCACCAGTGTGTCACCCTTGATACGTCAGGTCATCATGAGGCTCAGGCTCTCTTCCCTTCCCATCCCCATAATGCTTTTTAAAGTTATTTTTGTGCTAAATTATTGGTAGTGAGCTTGGCAAATTTCTCACTCTGATCAGGGAGTCTGAATTAGTCATGAAGGACTGACTGGTCTATTTCAGAGCTCTCTGCACATTATCTGTTTTGCTTAGAGCATGGTCTTCTGGGATCTGCAGTTCGGTTAATGTTCTACTTATGAAAACTTACCAGGCCTGCCTCTCCCTGAAGACCCTGGTTTGCTTGCTGGCCAATTTTAATTTTTCCAAAGGAATCAAGATTAAGGCAAATGCATTTTTCTTTTAAAAACTTTTTATTTTTTCTCCTTCTTTTAATTTGACGCAAAGTATACTGTTCTTCCAGGTTATGAGAGATCCTCAAACAAAACGCTCCAGAGGCTTTGGTTTTGTCACGTACTCATGTGTAGAAGAAGTAGATGCTGCCATGTCTGCCCGGCCACACAAAGTTGATGGACGTGTTGTTGAGCCAAAACGAGCAGTTTCCAGAGAAGTAAGGGGGTTTTTTTTGGGTTTTTTTTTTTAAATAAAGCTTAAAGTAGTTAATGACTTGAAAACTAAACGCCTCCACTTTATTTTTAAGGATTCAGTTAGACCTGGTGCACATTTGACTGTGAAAAAGATATTTGTTGGTGGCATTAAAGAAGACACTGAAGAATACCATTTACGAGATTACTTTGAGGCTTATGGCAAAATTGAAACTATCGAAGTTATGGAGGATCGTCAAAGTGGGAAGAAGAGGGGATTTGCTTTTGTTACATTTGATGATCATGATACAGTTGATAAAATTGTTGGTAAGTTAAAATTGTGGTATTAATGAAGAGCCGATTTAATGTTAAGTGTCTTGCCAGGTCAATGATATATGAAGCTTTCCTAAACCTTTGTCACAAACTGTTAAGACCACGAGCCCCTTTTAACTGAAACGGCTTGAACAGTAAATTTTTGCGTAGTTTTTCGGTTAAAATTCTGTTCTTTGCAAAGTATTTTTAAAAATGCTATTTTCCTTTTATATTATGGGTTATAGATGGTACTCATCCCACCTCTTTAAATTTATTTTTCAGTTCAGAAATACCACACAATTAATGGGCATAACTGTGAAGTGAAGAAGGCCCTTTCCAAACAAGAGATGCAGACTGCAAGCTCTCAAAGAGGTGAGTTTTTCTCAAATTTATAACAAAGGCATCTTATGAGGGTAGTTTTATACAAGCTTACAAATTTTATTTTTGCCCACCAAACCTCTTTAGGCCGTGGGGGTGGCGGTAGTAACTTCATGGGCAGAGGCGGAAATTACGGAAGTGGAGGTGGAAACTTTGGCAGAGGTGGTGGTGGTGGAGGTGGTAGTGGTGGATTTGGAAATAGAGGTAAGTGGTTTTTTTTTTTTTGTTTTTTTTTTTTCTCCACATAATGATGGTACTGGCACTTTAATATAAAGTGTTTCTCCAATGCGTTTTATGTATTTAATTAGAATGCCCTATTGGCATTTTGTGTCCTGCCCATCCCGGTTTGCTCTTATCCAGCGCTGTGCAGGACTCTTAGAGCAAATAAAACCATAGATCGCAAGGATTGTTTCTTACAAATGGCACACTGTGTCAAGTCACTCAACAAAACACAATTATAGTGAGCAAACTAACAAATAGTGGTGAGAGCACATGATTAAAAACATTGACAACTACTGTAATGTAGAGACAAATAGTGTCCGGAGTAACAGAGTTCAATGAAAGGCTTCTCTTAACGGGCATCGCACGCATGCTTCGTCCATAAGGGGGACATACATGATATGTATGTTAAGGAAAAGTCAAAGCTTAAAGTGAACTCTTTAAGACAGATTCAACTCAAGTCATAATAGAACTGACTGGAGTTTTTGTTTTGTTTTTTTCTTCTCTTTGACTTGTCTAACAAAGATTTGTTTACATGTTCAGTAAACTGAAGTGGCTTATCAATTATTTCCACCCTCTCTCAACAGGTGGCTATGGCGGTGGTCGTGGAGGCTATGGTGGTGGTGGCGGTGGTGGTGATGGATATAACGGCTTTGGTGGAGATGGTGAGTAGATAAGATTTATTTTCTTAAAGGTACACTTCACTGGAACCACTACCACTTAATGAAGTTCTGGTGTCTAACCTGTCCTATTCAATGTAAACACTGCCTTTTCAAAGAAGGCAATATTTACACTGGTGCCTAGTAACACATCTAGTGGCTGTGACTCGGACCGCCACTAGAGTTGTTTCCTATGTCTCCACAATCTGTATGGGTATATCTTCTAACCATTATTTTTAATTATTTTTTGACAAACCGAACCGTAAAAATAAATTTGTAACCAATTCTATTTCTTTTAAGGTGGTAACTATGGTGGCGGCCCTGGCTATGGAGGACGTGGTTATGGTGGAAGTCCAGGGTATGGAAACCAAGGTGGTGGATATGGTGGCAGTGGTGGATATGATGGCTACAGTGAAGGTGGAAACTTTGGAGGTGGTAAGCATTTACAAAGTACATGTTACTTAAAGGAACATATGGGAGATTGACTTCAGGTTCCCTAGCTTTTCATTGTGTTAACAATTTACCTCCTCTAAGCAGCCTTTCCATTTTCTAGTACTCTGGCTTGACGACCATTTTGTCCAATCAAATGCTTTGGTCAACAAGAGTCAGGCTCTGTTTGCACTAAGGAAGCATTCTGTATTGGCTGTGTGTGTATAACGCCAAAATGGCAATGTTTTAAATTGAGGGATTAAAACTAACTTATAACCTATACACTAGTTTAGTTGCTTTCTTAGTTTTCTGTGTAGTAATGGTTCTAAAGACGGTAGCATTCGGAATACGCAGTTGTATTTACATTAGTGTTCACCTACCTATTTAGCTGTTCTTCCTGTGTGAGGGTTTGAAAAGGGAGTTATTGCCTTTCTTCCCTGCCGTGGCTGCTCCGCCTCCCTGGCTGAGATCAATGTATTGATCTCAATCAATCCATTGCTTCTGCATTGGGGGGCTAGTGCCCATAGTCTAAATTGGTTCTCAGAGGTAAATGAATCGAGAGGCAATCAGGAAGACAGCCGCTAGGGGTGTTAGTCCTGCAATAGAAATATAGCAGGTTCTATAAAACTGCAGTGTTTTACATTGCAGACTTAAAACTAATGGGCCTCTGCACCCAGACCACTGCGTTGGGAAGTGGTATGTGTGCTAGTAGGGCTCATTTATTCAACTGGAATAAACATTTCAAACTTTGTTCTGTTGTGGATTAAAGTCCTAAATGCATCAAGCATGTAAAAATCTCAAGAAAAGGGCATTTTGCTTATTAAGTCTTGAATTCCTTTGCCATCTCAGGTAACTACAATGACTTTGGAAACTATGGAGGGCAGCAGCCATCAAGTTATGGGCCCATGAAGGGAGGCGGTGGAAGCTTCAGCGGTAGAAGCTCTGGAGGAAGTGGCAGTGGCCCCTATGGTGGTGTGTACAACTGCTGTCCAGATCTATTTAGAAATGTATCATCTACTGCATGTGTTTTTTGTATTAACTTAAATGTTTCTCAGGTGGCTATGGATCTGGTGGTGGAGGCGGTGGCGGCAGCTACGGAAGCAGAAGGTTTTAAAACTTGCGGCAGAAAAGGTGATGTGTGTTGAGTATCTTGCTTGTGCTAAAACATTTCGGTAAAGGTTCAATTGAGTAATAACTTTCTTGTCCTATATCATTCAACAGGCTACAGTTCTTAGCAAGAGAGCGAGGAGTTGTCAGGAAAGCTGCAGGTTACTTTGAGACAGTCGTCCATGTGCATTAGAGGAACTGTAAAATCTACCACAGGAAGAACGATGATCCATAGTCAGAAAGTTACTACAGCTTAAAGAGGAGGCTTTTCTTGTTCAGGACTGTCATAGCCACAGTTTGCAATCAGTGCAGCTGATAATTAATGCAATGTAGAGCTGATTAGATGTACATTCCTGAGGTCGTTTTTTTTTCTTTTTCTTTTTTTATAAATATCTGTAGAAGTGTCTCCCATTTCCTTTTATTATATATTTTTTTTCCCCATTACATCAGGTATATTGCCCTGTAAATTGTGCTAGTACTACCAGGAATAAAGAAATAAGGAATTTTTAACTTTTAAACAACTTGTGTAGTTCAGTGTTTCTGCTCTCATCTGGGCATTTAAGCATTGCTCAACCAAAAAATAAACTTTTTTTTTCCCTTTTACTAAATGTCATAATTTACCGAGAAGGTGCATGTTAAACACTATCAGATGTTAAAACTAGACAACTTCCGGTGTCATCCTTCTGTTCATTTTAAAATGGCGTTTGAATGCAATAAGCCATTCTGTGCTCAAACTATATAACGTTTGCTTAAGCACAGACATGTCTGTGTTTTAGTAACTAGCGGCCCCTAACAGTAATCCAGTTGTTGGGGGGCATAGTTTAAAATATGAACTGTTAACCTGCATCATGACTTCTATTGGAGATGCCCATTCTGTAAAATGCCTCATTATGCTTTAAAATTCAGATTTGATCCTCCATTTTGTAGTTAAACACTTTAGTTTGTTAGTTTTCCACCCAGTATTCTCTAGAACAGTAATTTATACCAGATGAATGGTCTATATTTTGTGTGGTTAACACTTTCAGTGAGCATATTTATGTTGTATGATGTCAGCAGACTAATAAACTGGATTGTCTGTAAGCTTGCCTTTTTCATTTTAAAACACTTCTTCCATGTACTGAACGCAGTGCTAGTTTTCTATAATGTAAGAAATCTGCCAGTTCTTTCCCTGCTAAAGCTACATCAACATAGTGTCCTTGGGGATTGTTACAATAAAGTTGTTTCTTAAAGCTCATTTCTTGATTAGATTACATCCCTCTCTTACAACATTTGTTAATTTATGGAAGGAGACATACTGTTTTCTGGGTGGATTGCTTTAGGCTACCATGCAAAAACAAAGTATTTAAAGGTGTAGTTAATGGAATTTTGTTTCAAATTGCTAAATTTATTTGAAATTGGCCAAGACATGGAAGACTTGTTTTGTGTTTTTTTTTTTTTCATGTTTGAGGAAAGCTTACAGATATATGCACATGTGGCAGATCCAGTGTCTTAATGTGAATAAAGAATTATTGTGGTTCATGGCTGTCAAACTAGTTTTAGTCCTCAGGTGTCTCAACCGTTAATGTTTAAACATTGAAGTACTTATTCCATGAACTACCTATATTTCCAAGCACAAGTTGCATCAGAAAACTAGTCTTGTGATATGCTATTAGTGCTAGGTTGTTCAATTTCTAACACTCAACTTCAGAGAAACATTTTTTTGGGGGGTGGTCATGGTCTTCTTTGTGTCCATAAATGTGCCACCCACCAAATTACCATGATAAAAATGGTTTTGGGTTTCATTGGGTTTTTGGCTTTTGACCCAATATACTGCAAAGCAAATCTAGCAGATTTCAAATTGAGCTACCATTTACACAACATTGATGCCTCCCTTCAAAAGATCTGAGCAATGCTTGACTATTGCTAGTGATGTGCTGAGCATCTAGCCAAAACACACACAAAGCTCTGGAAACAGACTCCTTATTGTTCGAATTTCTGGTAGGGTAGCAACTTTTGAAAGCTGTTATTTTAACCAACCAGATACCTGATTATAGGAAAACCTAGGAGAGCGTTGAGTGCTGCAGGTTTTAGGTTGTGGAAGTTTATCACAGCATATAGATGGTTGTAGCAAAATCTTTTTGTAAAATTCTGCATACAGGTGTACTGTAGTCCTGTGGCTGACTCTTCATAGCTTTTTTCTTTTCGATGCAGTTTTAGTCTAAAACATGATCTGAAAGTGTACTGTAGTCAAAGGTTCATGAAATGCTCATTAAAATTGCACTTGCCCCATACATTTTTTAATATATGAATGTTCGTAACATATGGGTATTCCACAATGCAAATAACACCAAATGTTTGCAAGTTAAAGTGCGGGCAGAGATGTTATCAATTGAAAATATAGGAGATTTAATATCCCAAACTCCACAAAAGGCAGGAAGTAATTAATATGCTCCTCACATATATAAAAATCTATATTTGCATAATGACAAGCGAAAGTTTGTCATCTCCTACTGTAAATAACCTTGACTTTGCTAATATCATCCTGAATGTATCGTGTAGTAAGACTAGCCTCTAACTGGTGGATTGATAGCATACACTGCCCATTTTATTGAATGATTTGTTTGGCAAAAAATATATATAATGGGCTTAAAACTGCTGTGTATGAGATGCCATTAATCTTGATACTTTCACATAACTTCTCTCAGTGTAGCTGCGCAACAACTACATAGGGATGGTTTATTTTATTTTTTTTACTAATCTGCTGAAATTGAATCTCCTATGGGGTAGCTGCCGTTCCTAAAGATGCTGCCAAGTGTTATCATATGGAAGGCTCAGCTTAAGGACCATGTTATATATTAGACAGTGGCATATTTCTTTCATTCTTCTAGCTACTTGTGCTCTACCGCACACTACTTAGTGATGCTCAGCCATCGGTATATTTTCAGTTTGGTTTAATCCTGAACAGGGTTTTGATCAAGATTCTATCTGGAATTTAAGAGCATATTTTGTTCTTTTCTAACTAAGATTGAGATGTACCTCTAATAGTAAAGTGGATTAAATGAGACTTCTCTAGCACAGGACTTCTACAGCCTTTACTCTATGGAGCCAGTCAGCTTTAATAAAGGAGTTACAGCAACAGCTTCGAGTTCCTGAGATGGCAGCAGTTACAATGCTGATAGTGAGCAGCTTTCCCAAGGCTAGTTACAGCTGAAATAACGAAGACAGTCTAGCAAGAGAGCAACATCTTTTGGAACCTTCTAGAATGATAGCTACTACAGGTGTGACCAAAAGCCAATAGGTCTAGCAATGAGACCTGAAAGCAGGGGCCCTAAGTATAGGTAAGGTGTGATTTCATTCTAGTCTAACCAATTGAAAGCGGCATCTTCAATTGGGTTTACTAACTGGATCTCAATTCACAGGCAGCAATTTGTGACCGAGGATTTGTGTCCAACTGCGTGGTTCTAAAATCTAAGCAAGACTTTCAAAGGTGAGTAGTTTTTCTTTCTGATTCGTTTAATCTCAAACTATGCAAGTGTCTATTTTCGAGACTTTTGCACAAATCCTTTTTTACTTGCGATGACTCAAATTCCTGTTAAAGGACCACAGACCACTTCAGCTCAATGAAGTGGTCTGGGTGCCAGGTCCCTCTAGGGTTAACCCTGCAGCTGTAAACAGCAGTTTCAGAGAAACTGTTTACAATTGGGTTAATCCAGCCTCTAGTGGCTGTCTCATTGACACCAACTAGAGACGCTTCTCACTGTGAAAATCAGTGAGAATACTCTGACGTCCATAGGAAAGCATTGAGAAATGCTTTCCTATAGGCTGTGCGCGCGGCTCTTGTCGCGCATGTGCATTCAGCACTGACGTCAGGAGAGGAGTTCCCCTGGAGAAAGGTAAGAGTTTAACCCCTTCAGCCTGGGAGAGTGGGACCCTGAGGGTAGGGGGGACCTAAAGACCCTATAGTGCCAGGAAAATGAATGTTTTCCTGGCACTATAGTGGTCCTTTAATCTACGCCCGACTCAATCTGCTCAGGATTTATACAACCGGTCTTTCCTTTTGGCTGTAGAGGATCATGAATTTGGTTCATTGCACGTGAAAAGATCTGTGCACATGTCTAGTGTCTTCTGTATGTGTGATACATATAAGTTTAACTCTGCAGTGGTCACACTGCCTTGTTGGGTTAAAGGTTCCAACAGTCTTTTTGTTGATGGGGAATAAATGTAGGTTCTAGGATCTCATGTGACTTTTCAGACATCTGAAAACATGGCTGTGACCAAAACCTGTAGTTCTTCCAGTGGCAGCCTGGTGCTTTAAAGGAGCACTATAGTGTCAGGGATACAAACTTTTCCTGGCACTATGGGGTCTTTGGGTCCCCTCCACCCTCCGGGCCACCTCCCGCTGGGCTGAATGGGTTAAAATGCATTTAGCTACTTGATTTTCTCCAGGGCCGGGCCCACTCTGTGCTGGGGAACTCTCCACCCCCTGCCAACATCAGATCCGCATGCGCGGCAAGAGCCGTGCGCATTCAAACAGCCCATATGAAAGCATTACTCAATGCTTTCCTATGGACATCCAGCGTGTTCTCACTGATATTTATTTATTTATTTATTTTTTTTGATTTTTTTTTCAGTGAGAATAGTGGAAGCGCCTCTAGCGGCTGTCAGGGAGACAGCCACTAGAGACTGGATTAACCCTCGGTGAAACATGGCCGTTTCTCTGAAACTGCTGTTTCCAGCTGCAGGGTTAACTAGATGGACCTGGCACCCAGACCACTTTATTGAGCTGAAGTTGTCTGGTACCTATAGTGGTTCTTTAAGCTCTAAACCCATGCAGGCTTCTGTCCTCTGCAATACCCTCACCCTTATGTTCCCTTATGAAAATAGCCAGAGCATCTACTGTATGGTGCTTGAGAGTCTATAAAGTACCCAAAAAAGAATCCATGTTAATCTAATCTGTTGCCATTTGCCAAGTCATAAAAGCAAAATGGCTGCCTGGCAAAACATCACTAGCCTAAAATTACAGAAATTTATTTTTTAAACCTCTAGCTGTTTTGTAGCTCTATTTTCCCAGGCTTCCTTGAAAAGGTAGTGCTTGCATTAACATCCTATTAATATCTGAGTTATGTGGCCTAGCTAGGCACATGACACACTTCCTAAAGGAGCACTAGAGGGTCAGGGACAAAACCATGTCTTTCTGACCCTATAATGTTAAAATCACCATCTAGTCCCCCTGACCCCCTCTTGCCTCCCTAAATATAGTACAATCTTGCTTGTATTCAAGCCTGAAGTTGCTGATTTTGTCCTGGTTTGCCTCAAAACAGCAAGCTGCCTGCAGGCTTATAGATGGTGTAAAATTTCAGTTACGCATTGCAGTGTTAACTATAAATGTATTCATATTTAGTTTGTATTCATGGAGATTTTTTTTGCCGTTTCTTTATAGTGAGAATTTCGTTAAATGCATTTGGACACAGCAAAGTCGATCGTGCACTTGGTGATTGAGAGAGCTAGTCGTGACAAACCAGAAAGGTGGGTAACGTTATTACAAAGTTTGAGGCTCCTATGAGTTATGCCCAAACAGCTGCTAGTGCGATAACAAATGGGCATTCTGAACTATTTGGGAGTTTTTTTTTGTTTGGGCGTAGTCTACTAAACTTAAGATTTACATAGACTTTAATTTGAAATCTGCACATTCAGTTTGGCTGTTATGGTTTAGTATTTGTAAGTTTTTGCCAAATTGTTCAGCAGTTCATGTTTGTAAATGTTTTTTGAAGAAAACCCAGTTTAAGTTGGAGGGTGGATAACTGCAGAGTTAAGTATATACTTGTGTCTAGTGTTTGGATTGTTAAGTGATTAAAATAAAACTGGAAGCCTTTCAGCCATAGAATTGGCAGTTATTTGTACTTAACAGCTGTATTAATTGTTACTAATGTAATTTTTCTTCTTTAAGATTAATGCATTTGTTTGAAGAACACGAGACTGCAGCAACTGGAAAACCTTCACAGCATTTTACAAATGTTTCTAAATATTAAATCAATACACCCCCCCCATCACTTTATTTAAGCAACATGGACAGCCACACTCATCTCACACCTGACATTTTTTTTGCAGTTTCCTATATAATTAAGCATACTGATTATTTATACATTTGATAGATACTCTGTAGTTTCACTTTTTGCCAAAGTGTTGCTTGAAATCCGTTTCCCCTCCCATACTTCGTTTCATTCTGGACAAACCTGTACTTGAAGTTTACTTTTTTTAACACTCCTTTATTTTGCATATTACCCTGTTTCCCTTCTTCCTATTGTGTTGTCACTTTGCCATATCTGTAACTATGGCATTTTTTTCCTCTCCTCCTTTTTCTGTTGAATGTATATGTATCATTGCTTTTAGTTTTGTTACTAAGCATTTATCATAGTACTGTAATTCTTTTGGATGTTCCTGAGGTACACTCCTCAAGGAAATCTTTATTTTTTTTTAATAAATTCATCAAAGGTGAAGTGTGGCTTATTGTATTGGTGCTTTAGGACATAATGTGGAGAAATACGAACATTCACGCCATACATTCCACCATAGTATATCATTTTTGTGATGGACATTGGCTTAATGTAAGTTTGACTACATGACTTGTTCATTTAGGTGAAAAACCACAGGGTGAAATCCTTGGCAGTGTTGCATTTCCCTTAAGGGAACACTCAATTTAATATTTTTTTGCTCTGATTACAAAAAATATAGAGCTCCTGGTTGCAGCTCTTTCCTTTAGCCAAGTTACAGGCTTTTATTTTGTGCTGGGGAACTGAGCGGGGGGGGGGGGTGTATTGTGAGTACACATATGATCATGACTTTCCTATGCTTAAAGGGGTCCTTCCATACAATAAGCCACTTGTGCTCATTAGATTGAGTATACAATTCTATCTATAAATGTATAGGTTAGGAGAAAAACCACCTGCTCTCCACCAATGGCAACTATAGCACATATACTATGGTTGCTATGGAAACTCCATAGTTGGCACTTCCAGGTGGGTGTTTCACAAAGAGCTGGAACAGAGTTAAGGTGAGTAAATATCTTCTACTTAACTGCCCCTGTCCCCTTAACCATGCAGCTGAAAACATTGCAGTTTTAGGGAAACTGTTTTTTCAGCTGCAGAGTTAAAGGATCACTATCGGCACCTAGACCACTTTAGCTTAATGAAGTGGTCTGGGTCCAGGTCCAGCTAGGTTTAAACCTTTTTGCTGTAAACATAGCAGTTTTTTACCTATGGGTTAATCCAGCCTCTAGTGGCTGTCTCATTGACAGTCGCTTCTGCGCTTCTCACTGATTTTTCACAATTTCTTAGGGGGAAGGCCTAATGTGTGTTGCGCATTTGGTTTCAGTTTGCACTGTTGGAGACTGAGCCAGCAGTTACCTTGTCGCTGAAACATTGAAAGTGGGGGGTAGTTTCTTTACCCTTTGATAGCATATTAGGTGGTCAGCAGAGGGATACTATAGTCATATTCTTAACCCTTTTAATTCTATATTCAGCAAGCAGCAGTATTCTGTCTGGAGTGTTCTTATAATTAGACCAGAGCATGGGACTAATGGGGGGGTCCCCTATCTTCAGTGGGTATTTGATTTTAGGAACTTCTGCTTAATTGCAAAATATAGTCAGCGTAAACTTGTTTTTTCCCCTTAATGTGTCAAAGTTAACCAGAGCTGGGAAAGCAAAACAGTCTGGCTGGATTCTGATCCTCTTTACTGTCATGCCAGAGCCAATGTCTTTACTCAGAAATTGGTCCAAGAGTATAAAGTAGGTCTGTAATCATGCAAGACTGATTAGCTCCACTGTCCTCATGCATGCACAAGGAGATACCCATGTTAGAAGTTGGGACATTTGGAAGTGTTGATATTCAGGTTTTGGTTTTCCCCTCCAAGTAAACCTACATGAGAGCCCTGACTTTATTTTGGGAAATCCCTTGAATGTGATTACACTTGAGTAATTGTATTGTTTGATATAAAGGAATTTCCTCCTCTCACCCAGTTTTCAGCCGTGTCAGGTTCACAAAGTAAAACTGTCTTGCTACAAGATGTGTGTATATATAACTAATTATAGGTGTACAGCACAGGTAACTAAATGAACTATTCTAGTGTAGCCGTGATGGAGAACTTAACGTTAAGCCAGTGAAACATTCAATATCACTTGCCCATCCCATTTATTAAAATCTGTCAAATGGAAAGATTTTGCTGTAGCATTTACACTTGACATTGTGAATGAGAATTTAAACATTATGGGGAACTGTAACTTCACTACAAATGGCAACATTGTTTCTTTGATTCTATTTTGAAGAGGAAGATGATCTTACTGCACTAATAAAGCCAAGATGAGGCACTCTTACAGAATCCAGTTTTGGGGATTTCTAAATGTAATTAGATCTCAAACTGTTAAGGGAACAATTACATTGTTATATTTAAATATATTCTAAGCATATAATAGGCTGTATAGAGTTTTAGATTAAACATTTGGAAAGATCTTTTCCTTTCTTCAAACTAAGGCAACAGACACTTTCTCAGCATTAAGATTAATGCATATATGCAAAAAATCCTTTCACACAAAATGTAATCTTGTATTATAAAGCATGTTATTGGGGAAGAAAGCTTAAATTGCTAGGAGTTTTACTGTCCACTTACCTAGGGGTTACATATACATACACTTACTCCCAGTTAGGTTGATGGACATTGGTTCGGTTTCAGAATCCTCTGTGCACTGGCAAGCTTCATAAGTTCTGACATGTGACAGAATACTAAAACTTTAGCAGTGAAGCTGGCTGTAGCATACCAAAGTCATACAATACTACTGTCAGCCTCTTTATTGACATTCTTTACTTTTGTCTTGCACCAGTATGTCTTAGTACATTGTTGTGCAGTACCATGAAATAAGCAACCAGTAATACAAAAAGTGTCAGACCTTTTGTGCTGATGTAACAATTGGGACGAGGTTTTTATAGAAAGTATAAAAATTAAGCAAAAATTGGATGTCCATTACCTGCTATCTTGGAGGGACCTCAACAAAGAGGTAGATGTAAGTATAAGACTAGCAGTAGAGCGCTAAAAAGCCAGGTTAAGACATGCAATCTGAAATGAAAAAGGAATGGTGGCTACAGGCCCTTTGAATGTATTTATGGGACAGGAAATGGCCTTCAGGTCATTACTTCAAGACCCCTGCTATAGAGGGAGCAGAAGCTAAATAGGAAACATACTATAGGTAAAGTTGATCGTAAAGAGAAATGGTTTAAGGGTGATGTGATTCATTACCTTTGCAATCAATCTTTGTAGTAGGTTGCCAACATGCTCACTGATATTCATAAAGAGGGCAATGTTAATAAAAAGTGATGTGAGTAGTACAAGAGACTTCTAGACAGGATGAAGTTTGACATCAGTTGAACTAAAGAGGGGGGGTTAGATAGGTGTGTGATACCATTTGGAATATAATATAACTTCCTGTAGCTTTGTGGCATCACTCAAGAAAAATTATATACACACACACTCTAGTCTGTCTTCCCATAAAGCTATGATACAGTTACTGGGAAATTGTGACTACGCCTTGGTAAATCCCCATTTAAATTAAATGAGAAAAACACACACAATGCTCCCATTCAGTTTAAGTTAATATTGGATCCAGATGACCCATTTAAAATATAGCAGTGATTTACATTTTTTGATATAATATTGATCATAAAAATAAACAGGAGAAACTAGATATGTTAAGTGTATTGTAATACATAAGCATAGGTTTTGAATGTTAGGATAATACCTGTGTTTAATGTTTAAAGTAATTTTAAGGCATATCAGCATTTAAATGACATTGTAACGTGTCAGTATAAACATTAACCATTTCATTGCTAACACAATTTAAAGGAAAACTAATTTAAAAAAAAAGTTATTACATCTAATGAAGTTGTGTTTTTATTATGATGGATGCAGGTTCATATAGGGCATGTTGGCTTGAGCAACAGTTGGTCAGATAACAGTATGGTCTGACCCAACATGACTATTCAACCAGAATTAAAAACAAAAATGTAATCTCAAAAAAAATGAATCATTTAAAAAAAGAAAGGTTTAATGACAGCTCTCCTTTACCAAACATCTGGCACCCACTATTATGTCCCAACAGCATTCTAAGAGAGATTTTAAAGGATGTAAATGGACCCCAAAACTTGGATGGAACTTTAATTTGACTATAATACAACCAGAATCAGATTTGATCAAAAAGATAATTTAACCCATAATGGCATGTCTGAAGGTCATTACAATCTGTTCTGTGTGATTGCCTAGTATATAGATAACATATAAATGACAAAAGTTTAATGTTACAATTTAAAATGAACACAGGGACTACAATAACAAATTGATTTTTTTATTTATGGTAATCTGTCTTGCTAAATGAAAACATACAAATAAAACCATTAAAATTAAAAAGATGCGTTAAAGAAATAAAGCTCTTTCTACAAAAAAGACTTGAATGTACAAATGTATTTTTCATCAAATTATGCTTAGTGTAGTAAATTTTTGGTACATATTTTTTGACAAACAAATTAGGAATTTTATATATTCATATAAATATGATGTATTGCGCTATTTACAGTTCTTAATAAAGACACTAGGGTGGTAGTAAGGAACTAATGCATGTAGTATAAAAGCATGCACATGTTTATATTCTGCAACATCCAACATGGGCTGCAATTTAATATCTTTGGAAAAGCTTTTCAAATGATTTACTGTATTTTTGTAAAATAGATTCATTTAATATTTTGAAGGAAAATAATTTATTTAAAAGTTTATCCAAAAATATTAAATAGAGACTATACATTGGAAATTATTTTTTCCATTTTATTTTTTTTTAACGGAATTTCATTTCCAGAGTGCACACAGTCTGAAGAAGATAAAATGGTACACAATACATACACAGCCTGTGTTCAGGTAAAATGCCCTAGTTTTTAGTTACCTTTAGAAGATAACTTTTACTGAAAATAATTGTATTTCCATTTTACTGAATAACTGGAGAGATCGTTTTACTAAATGTGGCCTAAAAAGGCCAAATGAAAAGACAAACCCTTCCTGTTTAATTAGCGTTATAGATGGGTCAGTGTCTATGAACAAAGTTAACCTCTCTATGCCAAATAATAAGAGAATATTAATAGGAAAGCTTGCTTTGGCTCTAGTTGGTGGGTAGCAAACTTAAAATGTATTCAAACTTTGTAAATCACATCAATGTGGAATTAGCATTTCAAACTTAGTCTCTAAACAAACAAAAAGACAAAACAAAAACAAAAGTAATATTTAATTTACATTAAAATTAATTTTCTATTACACTTGATTATACATATTGAATCCTGAGACAGTCTAAAAAAAAAAAATATAGTGAATTGGGCTGGCATAGCAATTTTTTTTTTCTCTTCTTAATAAGTCTTTGTTTTGTCCATATTAAGTGCTAGAGTAAAAAGGACGCTAGTTTTGAGAGAACTATATACCCCTTACGCAGATCCCATTTACCCACCCGAAGCATAACGATTCAAAATGAACAAGAAGAAACTACAAAAACTAGCACACTACTACTCTTTCTTAATCTCAAGCTTCTTTGCTTTGGGAACAAGGAAAACATTTCCGTCTTTTGTTTGTTGAAGAGAGTATTCTTGAGAGGAATATGGCTTTCCTTCCTCATCCCGTAACTTACTGAAGACCTCCATATAGAGGGTACCAATCTGTTTTTTCAGAAGGAAAAGGCTGTTATTGTACTCCCCTTTCTCAGTAAGTAATTTTTCTTTTTCATATTTCAGCGTGTCCAGGTCGTTTTCCAACTCTACTATATTTTCCATTTTTCTCTTTCGGCAATTTTGGGCAGCCACCTTATTTTTGCCACGCCTCCGGATATCTCTAATGAGGGCTAACTGAGCTTCATTGAATTGATGTTTGGACATCATTACATTAAATTCGTCCACAGGAAGATTAACAATTTTATCCACAGAGAATGGTATTTTGAGAGCTTTGGCTCTCTGCTCATCTCTAGTGAAACGAGCTTCCAAACGACTTAATGTCTTGTCCTTAGTAAATGGAGCTTTTGAGTGGCCAGGGGCAGTAACCAGGTCATTAGCGGATGGGCTGAGATCATCCATTTCGAAAGAAACCATGTCTTGTGGTATGAAAGGTGAGAGTGAAAAGAATGCATCCTCTGAAATTGTACTTTTGTTTTTTTCTGGAAGGATCTGGTGTACACTTCCAGGCGCACTGTCCATGTCATCCATTTCCGAATCACTGTAGCCAAAATGACCATCACCATAGTGTGAGGAATTCATAGACTGTCCTGGTGATGTCCCACATGGACTTGTGTTGATTGAAATCCCAGAATCAGAATCGTTAAATTCTGGTGTACTGTTCCCATTGAAAGCTTTACATAATGACAAGTCTTTAATGTCAGTTGTGTCATTTAAAAGTTCTTTTAGACACTGGTTCGAAGCAACTTCTGAAGGCACAACATTGGTCAATTTTGTGTCGATAAGGGTCAAGAGATTGTCACAGAAGGAATCCATGCTGAAGGATGCATTTGTGTTTACGTCAGGGATTCCAGTAGCAAAAGAGGCCCCTAAGTCGTTGGGGAAATTTGAAATGTTGTTAATTGGTTTTTCAATAGCAGGCATTGAATTGAGAAAGCTGTAATTATTTGCAGTGTCTGTCAGGGCCGGGCATTCTGTATTTGAATACATACTCAAATCGATCATATTATTCATTTCATTGTTCAAACCCTGAAAAGAAAAAGAAAAAAGGTTAAATGTACATTAGAAGCACAGAGGAACTTCTCAAGCGTTTGACATATAATATTGCACAAGTGGTAATGTAGTTTGGTACACACCATTAATTGCCAACAAAATGATAACTGTATTTACCTGGGTTTTGTCACTTCAAATCCCATGATTATTAGCAACCAAACATCCACTCTTAACCTAATCTTAACCCCTTAAGGACCAAACTTCTGGAATAAAAAGGGAATCATGACATGTCACACATGTCATGTGTCCTTAAGGGGTTAAACATCTGGTTCCAGTGGGGGTTTTTTTTATTGATTAAATTACTAGAATAAATGTACAAACTGCATTTATGTAGATTATAAATATTTACTAGAATACGATAGAAAAAGTACCTTTAACTCTGTAATAGACATTATTTCCTGCCAAGCCTGTTCCATTTCATGGACATTCTCTCCACCAGCAACAGTGTTTTTCAAACCGTCTGTTTCCACGTTTGGTCCAGAATAAAGAAAGTTCTGGTTGCCTTCAATTGGTGCCTCTGGTACCCATGGTTGGTATGGCTGAAGAACAGAACATACATATATTGGGAGTTGGTTTGATTACATTTTTCATCCATCCTCCTGGACTTAGTATGTCAGATTGTGGAGACTAATTTTTAGAATGCAAAAATAAAAAAAATTGATTGTGATTGGTCTCCACTGTCCAGGGACAGAATTTTCAATAGCAAGCCTTTTCTTTTAAAAATAAGCTCCACTACAAAAAATAAATTACAAAAATCTAAATATCTACAAAACTGGTGAATGGTTAGGTTAAATAGCATTCCTTCAAAATGGGTATTTTTTTATTTGTTTAAATAGGAGAACATTCTAATTACAATAGAAACAAACCCTTTCTGAATACAAACTAAAGTAATACTGGAAAGCAATTAACAAGAGTAGAAATATAGGTGTTTTTGCCAAGATTTACCTCACTATCAGCCGCAAAGGGGAATGCATCAGTTAGAAGATAAATTAAGTCCTCAGAAGACAGGGTGGATTCTGTTCCCAGACTATCCTTATTCTAGAGTTAAAAAGAAAAAAAATTTTTTTTGACATTTTTGAAAAATGTGTTTAGTAATATAGTCCTTTCACTGAAAAAGACCACAGCTAATTACCTGCAAGGAATTGTTAAGTGTTGCAGATTCTACTGCTATCTCCACAGGTGGAGCATGTTGCATGGGAATGAATTCGCCTGTCTCTTCATCCAATTGCAGGTGCATGTAAAATGCCTTCTCTTGTTCCTTTTGGAGTTGTTCTAGTTTCTCCTTTTCAAGCTTTTTCTGCTTTTCAAGCTCATAATCCTTCTGTCTTTGTTGATAGTCAAAAACTTCACGGCCAACTCCCAAATCAATGTCTTGTTTCCAAAGGATATCAATGAGATCCATATCCTAAAGGAAAACAAGAATATAGTATAAAATTTACAAAATAATGTATAGTAACAACAAAGAATAAAAATAAATACTTTTACACTTAACTAGTTTTTTGTTTTGTTTTTATCATCATCAATTGGAATACAGTGTATACAAGGTTTTTTTGAAATGTTTGTTGAAATGTCCAACATATTAAGTAATACGCAAATACTAAATGCATGACATGTAAACAATACAAACAGTGTTTGCATTTACCAGTGGTTTGTGGGTTTCTGGTTAATATATGTATCAAGTTTAATTATACAATCAGTGGCAAAATGAGTTTTATTAAACCATCAGTAGCTAAAAGAAGGTTCTACGGTACATTAGAACTTTCCAATCCATCACAACTGGACTGGAAATTCTAAATTGAGGTCTTAAAGTGGCCCAGCCATAAGAAGGCAGATTTACATCTCAAGTGTTTATAGGCACATTTGCTCCTACTTCCCACCCCCCAAAATCAAGTTCTCGGCTGCTTGTTCCATGTTTGGAGAATTCACATGAGATTTTAGGCAGTAAACGTAATCACTCAACACAAGAAATAAAAATAGAATTACCACACAAATGAAAAGGTTAAAAAGGAACAATCCACTGCAAAAAAAAATAATAAAATAAAAAAATCTATATCACAGTTTATTAGATATGCCCCAAATGAAAACATGCCTGCATTTAAAAGAAAATGCACACACATATATACACATATACATATAACGAACATATGGAGTACATATGTAGTCAGGTGAGGTAAACCAAGTTGGCAGGTACTTTTAGATAGCTCCCTTCTGGCAAATCCAGCTCTGTTTATACTATATGACATCACTTTAAAAACTGCTCAAACCGTGTGTAGCAAGTTTTAAGCAGATCTTGCAGTCTGTCTTTTTTTTTTTTTTTTAATTCTAAAAATAAGAAAAGTTGGGTACACCCACAATTTAAAACGGAGATTCCAACTGCTAATTACAGCTACATGTACAACTGCTTGATTAGGTGAAATTTATATAAAGCAAACCTATTCTAAACACATAACTAGATTACAGTCGGCCAAACAAAGTAAGTTTTGCACAGTTTGCCTTTAAAACCTAGGACTTGAAATATAAGGGGGTTTTTTCCCCTCACAAGGTGCAGTCACATGTATTATGCCACATGAAAATTAGAAAATAAGGAGGAACGACTACAGGAAGTCTGTTCTCTGCATCAATGTAGTTATTGAAAAACCAAGTAGTAAAGCATTTTTTCTGGCTGTGTGAAAGGTTACAATTAACAGGACTTTATTCGGATCAAAGTTTATTGAGAAGAAAGCCGCTTCTTATCACCAAACATTACATTAAATGATTAACCTTTTTCCCCAGTTCCTAGTATCCTTCAACTAGGCTCTTCAGGACCGAGCAAAGATTAGAATTTTATAGATCTCAGATCTGCCAGAATCGCAGCACTGACAAAATAAAAATAAATAAAAAAGGAGCCACTGGCAATAATGTGGAAAAAGGATTGTAGATTTAAGGTAGTTGAAGTGGGACAGAAAGCTTGTGTAACAAGCAACACAAGAGAATATGGATTTATACATGTCCTAATAGCGAACACCCTAAGATCGGTAGCCAATCTGTTACATTTTACAGCCATTTAGAATATGAAAATGAGCACAACATTATCTATTCATAGTTATTTTCCTCAAAGTTATTTATTATAATGATGGTTAAGTAGTTTTAACTATGTTAGAGTATCAAATAATTAAAGGGGCACTCCAGACGCCAAAAGCAATTCAGCTTGCTTTATATGTGAAAACGTGTGCTTTTTTTTCCATCCCTTTTTACAAAAAATTTGCAGATTTCAATAAAAATTGGCACTTTTGTAAATTAATCTTGTTACACCCCCATGAGTCAGTTTACAAAGTATTACATACCAAAAAATTATTAAGACTAACAGACTAAATCACTTTTAGCTACAATTTAACTTCAATAATTTGGGTATCTGATGGAAATGTTTAAAAGTACATTTAGTTATACTCCTGCCTCTTTCTTGTCTTATTGAATTCTAGAAGATCACAGTATACAATTTCAGTGAGACAAGTTTTGTCAAAGGTCTATACAAGAGGTCTATATCAGAGCCCAGTCCAGAGAAGAACAAACCATGTTACAACCAATCAGAATCTACATCTGTTCTGAACGCTGCATTCTAGTAGTTTAAACATCTTAGAGTCCTCATTAGAACAGAGTTGAGTCATCACTAACTTCATTTGCCAATCCTTCAGAACTGATGTAGAAACCACTGTAACACAGCATTATTTAAAATATATACTTCATTATTAAAAAAAAAAAATTAAATCTTTAAAGTTGGAAAAGGTTTTTGATAATGCCGCACAGGAACTGAAACATGCAGACCTGCATTTGGTGGCAACATACATCTATGTGCAAACAGATTGGTGTTTTTGTAACTCCAACTGAGACTTTTTTTATTCCTGGATCTCTAGTGAGGAATGAATTGTGTGGTCTCCAAGCAATACAGGACTACAGATTCCTGTTCTTGGCTTGCATTAAACTCCCCTATTTCCCCCCACCCTCCCCCAATATAACCACCATATTCTTTAGGATACAAGTACAAAGTTCGACAGTACACAATTCATAGTCTTGGCTCTACCCTCAGAATCAAGTCTGTGCACATTCCGGCACGCCATACCTTTCTATATCTGATGACTGACAGACCGCATTAATAAAAAAGCAAAATAAACATAGGAGGGGTTTAAAATACCAAGAACTAATAATCAATTAAGAGAAGAATTATTAAAATTATTATTAAAGAGAGGGATACAATTGAAGTTTGAACTTGGTGTTTCTGCCAATGAGAATATAAAAAGTCAGTAAATTTCTCAGAATTCTGATGTTGTGCAGTTGGTAGAAGAGATAAAACTGGAATTTAAAATGTGTGCATGTGTTAAAGTTAACGCTATCACCCACAAAGACAGATGAACACCAACATGTTAACAACAAAAATGTTGTAACACCGTCCAATGAGATCGTCTCACAACCATTTGTACCAAAAAAAAAATATATACCAGTATATAACTTCCAAAAAGCATGGATGCTCTACAGGCACTTCTCAGTTGCAAAAAGAGTTTACATGAGTAAATTCAGTCCACACTAGTGGACTAGTGCTTAATTTCCATAGAAAAACACACAATTTTCATGCAGTTGTTTAGCAGAAACCTCATAAAAATGGTGACATTCAAGGCATGGGGGAAAAAAAAGCTAATTAACCCTAAATTGTGTGGATACAAACACTTTAGTAGTGAGAAAAAGCCACAGCACCGCAGCACAGAATACAAAAAAAAGAATTTAAAAAAAAAAGAATTTAAAAAAAAAATACACTTTCATGAAAATTGCTCAAAAACACCATGTTAAGTTTTCCTATTACAAGTGGTTATGTGGGGATATACCTGTCTACCCACTCAACTGTCTTGGTTGTCCTTACAATTCCCCATATAGAAAGAGAGCTTTATGGGGTACTGGTCTATTGCCAGGTGAAAAACACACACTTTGACAACCACCCCCAAGTATAATAATTTGCACTTCAGGAATTTCAAGCTTTTAAAAGGCTTACTAGTTATCTTGTCGGCAAATAACAGTGTCACGTTATATGTAATATAAGAAGCCAATCTATTTAATCAGAGAGAAGGGCATTCAGAATAATCCTGGCATACACACACGCAGGTGTTAATATTGTACAGATGTTGATGGGCTCTATATATAATGTGGATAAAGATGTTATTATATTATCATTAAGGGATTCATTTGTATGACCAGATCTCCAATAGAAGTATTAATATTGTTGGATTTTGAGGGGACAAATAGGTTTGCTGATTTATATGTGGGTTTTAATGATGCTCATCAAATGTTTGCCATTGGTGATCAGTCCTGGAGAGTATGCCATGGTTGCAGTGGGGAGTAAAACTTTGTTTGCCTTTAATATGATTAGGATCAATTTCCAGTTCTTTAGAAATAACATTTTGATTATGTTCTCAATTTAATATATGTCTCTGTTAAATGTGTAAGAGTACAGTTAGAAGAGCCATGATCAAGGCGAAATAGTTAGGAACTGCCACCATTAAACATGATTCCAGTAAATATTTCAAGAACAGTAACAGACAAAGAAAGGGCAGAACTTTGGGCAACATCAGAAGGGAGAAGACAGAAAAGCAGCATGGAGGTGGCAAAGAGATACAAGCACTGGCAAATGTTGTGGTTTCACATCTCATGACACCCTGCCAACCCATTTGGCTGTCTAAGCATCATTATAGTTCTAATCCACAGAAACTGTAAGTCCTGGCTTTCATAAGCCATGGGTAGTAGAAAAGGCAGAACAACCATCAGAACCACACTATACAGCAACCTTTCTGTGTACGTTCATTATTATTCCACACATCCATTCTTAATTAGTATTTTAGGAAGAGACGTAAACAGCAGCTCATATTACACTAATACACAAAGTAGCTCTGCCCACGCTAGGCCAGTAGAAAAACAAATGTACTTAACACGCCATGCTATACGTTGCAGCAGTTCAAATTACATCCATTATCTGGTCATGCAAAGGCATTAACTGCCGCAGTGTGAATTGTTGGTAATAGAGAAACAAACCATAGGGGACTGGGGAATGTTTCCAAGTCACCTATTTTGTACTAAATGTTAAAATTCACTCTGAATTGCTGTCAATACACACGCTAGTGAATAATATTGTACTGTATTGTTTAAAAGGGAAACTGTAGTCACTTTAATCCTCCACTCACCATTAAAGCATTTTCAAGCCGTTCAACACTAAAAAATGGCTGGCCAAATTTTGGCCCATTCTGGAGTAATGGCTAAGGCAGACATTACACACTTCCTTGTTGTCATTCCCTTCATACTGTCAGCTGGAGCTCTAATAGGCTAAGATCAGCCAGCTGAAACTCTCAACCAACAATCACTGCCTATTGCTGCTCAGGCCAATACTTCCTCATTAGCCAAAGCAGCACAGAGGGGATGGGCTGCATGGGGCTCTAGTTTAGCATTAAAACAAATGCATTAACAATGTTTAATGCTGAATGAAATGATGGCACCAGGGGATTCCAAACACTCTAACCAGTTTAAGTAGATGAAGCAGATACAGTGCCAACAGTGTCCCTTTAAGCTCCAAGACGTTGCATCTGGACAGATTGGACTTTACGGTCAAGATATATAGTGGGAAATCTTCATATAATATATAAAACCACTAAAGATTTAAATAAGCCTGTAAAACAATTTTGCTTATGTACAATTTCTAGCCAGTGTCCTTTTGTATCACACTAACATTCGATGACGTGGATCTGGGAGGATGTGTAATTTCTCATTAATAAACCGTTAGCTAATTAATGAGAAAGACAAAGCCTCTGAAACAGATCTAGCAGCCTCTGATGCCTGGTAACTACCATATCAAGTGTCAGGCTAGGAGAATAAACAATGCACTCAATGTTTAGGAAATGTGAAAAGTTAGTTTAGCCTGTAATTTTATAAAGACACAGAGCCTTATATTATGCTTAACTGTCTTTATTCCCTCAGAAGCGGAGAGAGACACAAACAAAAAACCATACACTCTATAGGTGCTATATACTATGGGTTACTCTGATTGGCTGTGACATTGCCCATGTTTAATACTAATGTTATATACGAATATTTGAAGTTTCAACTTTTATTTTGAGTTAAGCATAATATGCGTCTTAACAAAATAAGGACTTTACGTCATCATGACATTAGTAAAATGTTGAAATTATCCTGGTTTCCAAGTTTGTGCAGCAAATATTAATGGCTTGCTTTTTTTATTTTTTTATTTTTTAAGTGTTTGAAGGTACAAGAATTTCAGGACAGACTAGAACATAATCACGGGAAGCCGCAAGCCTCCGATCTCTACCCTCCCCAATCATCTTGCATGACACGGTGTCACCTGAGTAATGTGTATTCTTAGATCACAGTTGAAGCTTATTGTTTTTTTGTATAAGTAGGTAATGCCTTAAAGGGAAACCATAGTCACCAAAAACTTTAGCTTAATGCGACAGTTTGGGTTAAGTGCTTGAAGTAACTCAATTACCTCCAGACCTAACAAATATCCTCCATTTTACAATACTGGTAAAAACACATATTTCAAAATATACCGAACGGAACCCCCACATTCAACGTATCCCCACATAGCTTAGATCTGAGCGCTCAATATAACCGAACAGCGCTCAGATCCCATACATATAGTTCAATCGCCATGGAGTTAAAGTCTTGTACATTGTGCGTTCAACTAAACGAATGCGCTCCATGGGTCTACTATCTGGTACAGTTCCGTTGCATTGTCAATTTACCGAATGGCACGGCGTTCGTATGAATTTGGAACAGAGTATCGGATGGTCTGTGATTTCAGCAGTGTTCGTGGGAAGCAGTGTCCGAAATCAGTTCCATGAGTTTGTCGACGAACACCGCTGGGCGTTCAACTGTCCAAGATGGCCGCCGCCACATGTTCGTTCATACAAACGACCACCCAGCCGACCATTCGGGAGTTGGACGTGTCTGCGGTTAACCACAATGTTAATGAGGGCAGAAAGGTTAACGAGCAGCACACTTCCCAGCTGGGTGGCCTGCCATTCGGTAGTTTGCAAAAAATAATAATAGAGAGGATAGATCAACGCAGTCACAAGGAACGTGTGGGAGTGTAAAATCTAGCCTGGGTGGTGCCTACCTCAGAGCTACAGAGTAGGGGGTAACCCAAAAATATACAAGTAAATTGAGGAGACACTTGTGGCAAGGGGATCCCAGTGGTATCTCTGCACACACAGAAAAAAAACTTACGTAGTAACCAGTTTATAAAAAAGGAGGAGTGGGCACTCATACAGGAGTAAAGAGATGGAAAAGGATACGCTTTATAGGCACAGAACTCATACCCAACGGAAAGGGGATTGGGACTGTAAGCTAAAGCAAAGAGAATCTTACTGGATATATAAATTCAAAACACTTTCACCACAGGGACTAAATTAAGGTTTTTCCTTCTCGTCATTCTTATAGACGTCTAGGTACTTTACATCAACAGAATTAATGTACCAACCTGTTCTACTTGATTTTATGCTGTCTGTAAATATGTCTACAGGGAGTGCAGAATTATTAGGCAAGTTGTATTTTTGAGGATTAATTTTATTATTGAACAACAACCATGTTCTCAATGAACCCAAAAAACTCATTAATATCAAAGCTGAATATTTTTGGAAGTAGTTTTTAGTTTGTTTTTAGTTATAGCTATGTTAGGGGGATATCTGTGTGTGCAGGTGACTATTACTGTGCATAATTATTAGGCAACTTAACAAAAAACAAATATATACCCATTTCAATTATTTATTATTACCAGTGAAACCAATATAACATCTCAACATTCACAAATATACATTTCTGACATTCAAAAACAAAACAAAAACAAATCAGTGACCAATATATCCACCTTTCTTTGCAAGGACACTCAAAAGCCTGCCATCCATGGATTCTGTCAGTGTTTTGATCTGTTCACCATCAACATTGCGTGCAGCAGCAACCACAGCCTCCCAGACACTGTTCAGAGAGGTGTACTGTTTTCCCTCCTTGTAAATCTCACATTTGATGATGGACCACAGGTTCTCAATGGGGTTCAGATCAGGTGAACAAGGAGGCCATGTCATTAGATTTTCTTCTTTTATACCCTTTCTTGCCAGCCACGCTGTGGAGTACTTGGACGCGTGTGATGGAGCATTGTCCTGCATGAAAATCATGTTTTTCTTGAAGGATGCAGACTTCTTCCTGTACCACTGCTTGAAGAAGGTGTCTTCCAGGAACTGGCAGTAGGACTGGGAGTTGAGCTTGACTCCATCCTCAACCCGAAAAGGCCCCACAAGCTCATCTTTGATGATACCAGCCCAAACCAGTACTCCACCTCCACCTTGCTGGCGTCTGAGTCGGACTGGAGCTCTCTGCCCTTTACCAATCCAGCCACGGGCCCATCCATCTGGCCCATCAAGACTCACTCTCATTTCATCAGTCCATAAAACCTTAGAAAAATCAGTCTTGAGATATTTCTTGGCCCAGTCTTGATGTTTCAGCTTGTGTGTCTTGTTCAGTGGTGGTCGTCTTTCAGCCTTTCTTACCTTGGCCATGTCTCTGAGTATTGCACACCTTGTGCTTTTGGGCACTCCAGTGATGTTGCAGCTCTGAAATATGGCCAAACTGGTGGCAAGTGGCATCGTGGCAGCTGCACGCTTGACTTTTCTCAGTTCATGGGCAGTTATTTTGCGCCTTGGTTTTTCCACACGCTTCTTGCGACCCTGTTGACTATTTTGAATGAAACGCTTGATTGTTCGATGATCACGCTTCAGAAGCTTTGCAATTTTAAGAGTGCTGCATCCCTCTGCAAGATATCTCACTATTTTTGACTTTTCTGAGCCTGTCAAGTCCTTCTTTTGACCCATTTTGCCAAAGGAAAGGAAGTTGCCTAATAATTATGCACACCTGATATAGGGTGTTGATGTCATTAGACCACACCCCTTCTCATTACAGAGATGCACATCACCTAATATGCTTAATTGGTAGTAGGCTTTCGAGCCTATACAGCTTGGAGTAAGACAACATGCATAAAGAGAATGATGTGGTCAAAATACTCATTTGCCTAATAATTCTGCACTCCCTGTATATGTAAATAACTAATTAAAGTTTTTTTTTTTTTTTTACCACATAGCTTGCATAGATCCTACTGGCTTGTACCTAATTACAAATTATGGCTGATCAAAAAAAAATGGATGTTGCTTCCTACAACCATTCAGTACTAGTATTTATACCCTAAATGGTGCATCTCCTTATATTTCCATATTCCACTATATATGCTTAAATAGTTAAGAATCTGGCTATCCCTATGTCAGCATATACCCTCATACTGTTATAGATGCTCTACATGTAGATACTAAGGATATCAGGAGATATGAGCCCTAATATGCCAGTGTAAATCCTTCCTTACGTTATAGTGTGAGCACCAATACAGAGAGATCTCTATGATAAGGGGTTAATGGTGGAAGCCCATTTCTTAAACATGTACTTAGTGGACATCTTAATCATATTTTGAGTGATGCACCATTGGGACTGTCTCATAGCGTAATTACCACTATAACAGTGAATATACGCCAGGATAGAACACTGATCAATTCCGTTACCATCGCTGGGGCAGTTGATTTATGCTCGAACACTGTTATTAGGGTGTCAACAAATTTCGTCACCCGTCAATCATGCTAGCCGTGACGTCAGAAGGAAGGGTGTCTAGTAGACACCCCCTGCAGTGACTGACCGAACGTTAACCCAATGGTTGTGGGGTGATTGATGTGACGTTGGGTAGGGGGAGTGGCGCTTCAACGTCACTCGCCTCCCCAATCCCAGCATGTAGGATTAGCCTAGCGTTAACCCAATGGTTGTGGGCTAATTGATGTGATGCAGGTAGGGGGCGTGGCGTCTCTACATCACCTCCCTCCCAGTATGCCGGATCAGCTGAAAGGCTTTCCTCCTAATTATGAAGGTATTTAAACCGGGTTGTGGGACATGCAACTTAGTAGCTCCTGACGACGGCGTATCTTTACACCGAAACGGACGTTGAGCGTTTCTTCACGTTATTTACTTTTTATCACTAGGTAGCACTTAGATAGTTAGTATGTTTTGGTTAAGTTAGTTTATCTGTTTATTTAGGTCTTTGTGGTTAGACAGTGTCAGTTCTGTTGGGGTGGTTTGGTCTCAGCTGAGGGGCTGGGTTTGCTCACCCCTGAAGACTCATCCACCTAGTATTACAGCCATCTTACCGGTCTTCCTATTTATAGTGTGGGCACTCTCCTCTCTTTCTGTGAGGTATTAACCTCTTTTTCCGCTCAGCTTGAGTTATTTTGGAGACCTTACTATCTACATTGAGAAAGGTTTTTTGGAGTGTTGTACTGCTCCTCCTTCTTCCTCCCTATATACTGTACCTCTCACTATCTCGCTATTTTGAGGATTCTTGTCCTCCCATAGACAGTGAGTTTTAGATGGTTCATAGGTATAGATAGGGCTTTCATTTGCCTATTCCTTTCCCATCTCTTTACTCCTGTATGAGTGCCCACTCCTTTTTTATAAACGGGTTACTACGTACTTTTTTTCTGTGTGTGCAGAGCTACCACCGGGATCCCCTTGCCACAAGGGTCTCCTCAATTTACTAATTCGGTAGTTTGTATGTTTGTTTGCATTCACCCAAATACGAACAAACAACCGGCAATAACCGAACAAACAGACAAAACAGGTTTCAAATAATAATCCAAAGGCAGAGAGGTCGGCCGCAAGTGGGAATGGCTGAACTTGATGGACACGAGTCTTTGTGGGGCAATATCACTAATTTTGCATCAATTCATGTAAAATTGCACACAATGTACCTTGTGAAACAAGTGCTTTATATTTAAGAACAGTACAGTATTGTGCCTCAGCCATACTAGTGGTAAAAGGTGTATGGCAGGGGCTGATAAAGAACATCTAGCCTTTCGGAACCAGACGGTTAAGCTCAAATTGTTTATCTGTTTTTCAATCTCAGCTTGTTTTAACCTGAATCTGGCAGTTGTCAACTCACAACACAACACACTAGGGCTCACTGAAGGTAATGGTGTATAGAAATGTAGTTTATAATTATTGTGGCACTCTAAGCCATAACCACTACAAGCACTCTCCCTAGTGTCATCTTACTTTTAAGAGTCAAACCACAAATTCCCTGAATTCTGGTCCCTTGTTATAGATATCACGAACACAGAAGTTCAGATTCTGCCTTCGTAATATACATTTTGTCCAGATGTGACAGCTGACACTCGGCCAATGGATTCTGTCCAAAGACACAAAACTGATTTGGAAGTAGGGTCTACTGCTTCAGCTTGCGGCACTTGGTTGCAAAAACACTGAGCATACAAACTCCAGAGGCCATGACCACTTCAAATCACACAAAAAAAAATAAAAAAAAAATAAAAATATATATATATATATATATATATATATATATATATATATATATATATATATATATATATATATATATATATATATATATATATCAGTTGTGCTTGGAATAACCCTTTAAATATCAAGTGAATCACCGCTAAATATCTTTCAGTAAGCCACACCATACATACAAGACTTAACGAAGCTTCATTCATGTTAACCTGTTCAGAAAACAAGAAGAGAAGCAGATGCTATACCAACAATCCAGCAACTATAAGATTAAACTAAATTATTGATTGGAGATTAGCTTGGCACCAATTTATTCTCAAATACAAGTGAATATTGAGTATAATGCAAACTGTCCTATCCCTTCTCCAAAAAAAACACCCAAACAGAAAATAGCATATTCTAACAAGTTCCTCTGTTTCACGGATAGTACGATGTCCTGATTATTTATTCACCCTGTATAAAACTCTACAATACAGGGTTCTGGAAGATTTAAGAATATTTTCACAAGGACATTAGCTAATCAATTGGCCAGATTTTACCAAAATTTGCCCCTCTTCCTTCTCTAATTGCAGATGAAATGGAATAGACATAATTTTAGTAAATACAAGAATTGTCAAGGGTTGGGAATACTACAAACCATACCACTGCCTCAACAGATTTCATTTCTGTGATACTGCTGGGCACTTTGGCTAAGGCTAATGGGAATGCTAATTTGCTGCTTGCCTAAACATGTTCAAGCAGTATTGTTACATCAATTACAGTCTGTAGAATATCAATGTTGTAGGCAATTAGGAGAAGAAAAACCACATTAAAAAGAAAAGCTGTCCTTGGAAGAGTAAGTGGAAGGGGGAGGACACATGGCTGATTGCGCAAGTTTCCTAACAACTCCCTGCTGTGCTGAGACTATAGCAGCTCACACGAACAGGAATAGGGATCCTTCAAGGGGGTAGTCAACATCCAACAACGCTTTCCAATGACCACAGAATCAATGCAAACTTGAACTTTGCCTTCTCCGTGTTAATACACAGGTAGATAGAAAGCTCACCACTGTTTTCTTGGCTTTTCAAAAGGCTCCAACAACTGAATATAGTTATTCCTTATCTCTAGACAGCATTAGATAACACATTTGCACATATTAAAATACTTGGAGCTAAATGCACACAATAATAGTTTGGTTTCTTACTCCCATCACAATGTCTAAAGCACTAGGGAAATGTTAAGTCACCAGGGATTTTAAGCATGCTATCTACCAGTTATATAAATCCACGATCTGCTAAAATTGCTAATGATCCACACTTAGCGACTTGCACAGTACTATTTGAAATATACTTTTACAATACTCTATAAAAATAGGGTTAATGGTAGACTGAGATGTCATTACATGTTCCTGTGATAGGAATTAAAACAACTGAGGTTGTGAATTTGCTGCTTATATACACGGCCATCTAAAAGAACTACAAGCCATCATTTCGTGAGGGTCTGTAAGAAAATATAGCACTACAAAAAGGTGAAAAGAAGCAAAGAATAACAATACACAACACAGCAAATCACTCTTTAGTAACGTACAGGTTTAAACATAAGCCAGCAAAATTAGTAAAAGTTAGTTAGTAAAATATCCATATTCTTCTGCCTTTATTATAATTCTGTAACCCCCCTCAATCATCACGTATGTCTAATCTATTCTTTTTACTTAATATTTCTGATTTTTAAACTTTACTTTTTTTTTTCTCCCTCATTCTCACCCCATCACATTCTTAGTTAAACTCTGCCGTTTTGTCACATTTGTCAGGCACTGGGAAAAAATAGTAGTAGTCCTACTTTGTCTTATGTTTTAACGAGAAATAGTTCAGAAATTAAGAAAAGAAGAGCAGATTGGGAAAGAGGAAGAGAAGAGATAACAATAGGAGAAAGGTAAGTTTTAGCTAACAGAGTCACTTTAAAGTAAAACAAACCTCTGATTGAAATGTTACAAACTGACCAAGCCAACAATACAGGAGTATCTCTAGCAAACTTATTTTAACCACATTTCAAAATATTTGTATCCATTATAGTGCATCAACAAACCAGCTACTTATCACCAGAAATGTTTATACTGTTGCCATAAGATGTTTTGGGAGTGGCGACAGATGTAAGAGCAATAATTTAAAGATATATTTGGCATTTTGTTCAGTAACACATAAAAGCTGCTTCCATTTACATGTGTCTATTAAGGCTGCCCCATCAGTTTTGGTGAGATGCCTATCATGTGTGCCATGGCTGGAGGTAGAAACAAATATGATTACCTAAAGCTCTCCCTAGCAGGTTCCACCTTCTTGCCCTTCAGCTCCTGGGGCGTTATTCGCCAGCAGCCCTTGACACTGCTGTACTCTCATGAATGAGCAAATATACTCCTTTGAGGTCCTTGATAAAACAAAGAGAAGATACCTCCTTCTCACATGCATCACAAGAGATGACAGTGGGAACTGACAAAGGCTGATGATGGAATCAATATTATAATTTTGATTGCATTTTTAATATTAAGAAATTCCAATCCAGTCAGAACGAGCATTTGATAGAGATTTTTGAAAGGCTGAATTTGATGTTTCTCAACCTTGATTGCTATATAAACCCCCTTCCCCACCTCCTTTTTTTCTTCAGTTTTCAGGGAATTAAAGACATCTCAACAGATGCATATTTATTGGTTGCAAAGTGCATATTACTCCAACATATAATTCTGTTAAGAATAAAACATCTCAAGGCTCAATTTACCAACAAATGTGAGAGATGGAAAAGAGACCGAGAAAGATAAAATGTAACAGAAGAATGGAACAAAGTTCTATAGCAGGGAAAGGCAACATTTTAGTAGTACTGTGCCAAAGCAATATCTTTTTTTAAACTTAGGTGTGTATGTTGCCATATTGTGCAATTTATGGGTGCTGCAGTTGCTTTGTTGTATTTTTGAGTATGTCGGCTTTTATGACTAGTTTGCAGTATTGTGTATGATACCTATGAATTTGTGCTGTGTATGAGGGCTGCTTGTGGAATGGTATGTGTGGATGAAATGTCACATTGAGTATATGTAGATGTATGTGTGGGGCTGCTTATGGTATTGCATGTAAGAGACTGCTTGTGGGGTTGTGTGTGTGTGTGTGTGTGTGGGGGGTGGCCAGTGGTGTTGCGTTTGTGGTAACTGTGTGTGTTTCTGTGTGGGCGGTTTGTAGTATTATTTGTATGAGGGAGAGGCTTATTCTGCCGCTCTGTATATATCTGGCAGTGTGGGTGGTTTCCCTAAAGACCAGGCTGGCCAGGTACAGGTCAAGGACAGGAGCTGCGATAGCTGCTACTTTCTGCTCTACTCCAGTGCAGATTCCCATTCACAAGTGCTGAGATGAAGTGATCAGAGATCACTTCCTCTAAATTCTGCAATGCATAAATTGAGGATTGTCCCTCACCACCTGTAATCAATCGCTCGGCTTGCACTAGCAAAGATCTGAAATCCTACTGGGACTCCTGATAGCCCAGAGTCTGTTTGTCTCTGGCTGCCTTGAGTGTCGTGCAAAAGTACCTCGAGTGCCGTGCATGGCACACATGGCCATAGGTTGCGGACCCCTGTGCTATACCAATAAACTCAATAGGAACATTCCATTCTTTTAAAAGACAATTTCCACTTTTAGAACCAAGCCCTATTTTTTGTAAATCTCCCCACTGTCTATTATGTGTCTAAGTGAACAGTTGTTCAAGATTCTTAAAAACACAATCTAAGTAGCAACATATTGACAGGTATGGGGATAGACAGATTAGGCCCCAGTAGCCAAATGACACATGCCCATTATTTGCTCTATTCTGTCAACCAATGATATTTGATCATATTCTTGCTACCAATACACATTTCACCTGCTGCTAAAGGCACATTATAATTGTGCAATCTTTCTTTACAAAAGCAACAAACTTTATAAAAGATAGTAGAGGAAATAAAAGGTGAGTTGTTCTTTTCTGCACTTTGATCTAAATTATCTAATAGTGATGTAATTATACATGCATTCACTTTGATAACATGATTAACCTATGCTGGTATCTACTGCCTGGATCACAGAGTTTATGCAACCTTTATTTTTACCTCTTAAGTAAATTTATCCAAGTTCCTTTTAGGCTAAACATGTATGTTTTGTTTACCCATTGTACAGTAACACAAAATATGGCGACACTATAATAATTACATAAAGGAAAACCAGAAATATGTACTGGCTTTGGCTGAGTAGTTCACACCCTTTCTTATAGCATGTTGGTAAAAGTACTCCTTGTCAAGGTAATATACAATGAGAGTGGTGAAAAGAAGTAGACATACTGGACAGGGCAGGGTGAGCATTGTACAGCTTCACCATACCTCTAACTGGTCCTGTACACTAGTAAGGTGCTCTCAACAGCAACAGCACTATGGAAGATCAGACTCATAACTACATAGTTTCATAGGCTGAAAAGAATAGTCCACTAAGTTTGTATAGCTCTGCTTATATTGCTTATCCACAAAACATTAAAAACACCAATTTGAAGAGATTTACGATCTTGTCCTTTATACAGTCCTATTACCAAACATAGTAGCCGAGAACTCATATCTTGTTTAGTTTATGACAAGAGTTAGAAGACTAGGCAAGCAAAATGTATTGGGAATTAAAGTAACATTCCAAGCTCAACAAACACGACAGAGCCGTAGTGGTTATGGTGCTAGGAGTGCCTCTTCCCCCCTCCCTCAAACATATGGAGTCAAACTATTTTAGAACAAGGGTCTGTGGGATGTTCTTGTTCACCTCCACTGCTTTCTATGGAAAGTGTTCAAAGCGCTCCTCACTGAGTGTAGCCTGTCTGTGCAGTGCTTAGCCAATTTACTGAGCACAATAAGTGAACACTCACAGCCAATGAGCTAGATCTGCAATGCAAGACTTCGCTAAAGACAGCAAACAGAAGCTTCTGGCTCTCCATGAGGAAGTAATGAAAGCAGCACATGGTGTCTGGAGGACACCAGATAAGAAGTCAAACCTTACTAAAACAGCATCCCTGGCACCATAACCACTATGAGCTGTAGTGGTCATTGTGCTTAAAGTGTTCCTTAAATTAAGAGATTGAAGCATTATATTCATAAATAAAGATTTAAATCCATTTTTAAAAAGGCTTTAAAAATAAAAAATAAATTTAAAAAATCCACACACTTTTATGGGGCATTAGACCTTTAAATAAAGTCATATAATTTAAAATAGCTAGGGACTAATCCCAGAAACTTGGTTTATCTTTCAAAGACTCCAAGTAACACAACTGCAAAATTAAACACTAAATGTTGGTGTCCTAGATTGATTAATAGGATTCCAGGTTTAGGGTCTTAAAGTCACAGGTCTAATTCCAAGTAAGGTCAAGTGACTAGAGTATGTCATCCATCCAAGGTTGATCAAGCGGATAGTGTTTTGGTCAATACAGTTCCCATCATCCTTGCCCAGGGTACTGAAGTACATATAGAGCTGCAGATTGCCCAACCTGGATCTAGTATTTAAGTTGGGCTATTACACCAGTGATAAGCTAAATATACCATTCCTGGCTAAACAATTTGAGATCATAAAATAATGAATATTCACACTAATCTAGCACCCAGAGGGTTAACCAAGCCATTAAAAAATACTTAAAAATATTCACAAAACATTTGCTTGTTAAACAGCAAACAGTGGCAAACACATACCCACCGTTCTGCAACTAATATAATATCCTTTTGCTGTGTTATTTTTTCATGATTATGCAAATGCCAGCCACTCCATACAGGGCTCAAATGTCACATGGAGGTGAAGACAGAAAAGCTGCTAAATATAGGATACGCCTACAACTATAGCCACTCTATATATTCACTCAGCAATATTGTTGCTTCCTTTTTGATATTTCAGATTCAGAACGAAAATATAGTTATTACCAAGCCTGAACTGGCCATGGGGCAAATCAGGCATATATGTCTGGTAGGCCATGATGGTTGTGTGCCGCAAGGGAGATCAAGGGATCTCCTAAGGCAAGTCTCAGGGAATGAGGAATAGAGAAGCACACACACACACACACAAAGCCTACAAACTCACACAACCCCTCAAATGTAACAACCTCCTCCCCCCCCCCAAAAAAAAACAAAAAACAATCCCCATACATGCAATCCCACCTTCCCAACCCTTTCCCTCTTTTGTCCTCTGGTATTCCACAGAGACAAGTTACCAGCAAATGCATAACCAGCATGTCTTTAGATTCGCTCGCACTGTACTAAACAAAGGGCATTTTTCCCATACCAGAGCTCTTCAGCAGGGCTATGCCATGGGCTGCCCTGGAGGGACATCAAACTCACGTGCCCACTTTTGTTATGGGTGTGGTCATTGTTCATGGTGCAACACGCCCCCTCTATGGATCCATCCCCTCATATTTTGCTGCTCTGCCTTTAAATACCCAGGCTAAACTTTTGCCCCAGTCCGATCCTGATTAATAACCATAAAATTTATGAGCCAGTTAATTACATTGAATTAATTTGAAAAAGTATGTTATCGATAGAAGGGGAGAAACATGCAAGTAATAACTAAAATGTTAAATAGGTGTAGTCCTATAAAAGTTTGGTTTGCCCCATTTGGCCATCTCTGGTTTAGATAAGAGTAACCATTAGTAAATAATTTTCCAGACTAACGCAAGTCCTATAAACATCAATGGTAGCAGTGCCAAAAAATTCTCATATGTATCATAATATCAAACTGGTGCAACATAGAGAAACAGGAAAAAACGAATCATCAGTGGGAGTAAGTCAGCTGTAACCCACAGATTCTACATCTGGCCACCACAACTTCTGCAGAACCATTTGTAAAACTACCAAACCAAGACGATCAGCTTTTTGTTGCTATGCCCATCCTGTCCCGATATATTATGAGATATGAAGGGGTTAAATGTGATCTTTGATGCATGTTAGATTGAGCAAGGTTAATTATTTGTTGTTAATCGTAGTGTATAAGAAATACAATTATAAAATAAAATTTATATAATAATTGGGTTTTTAAGACTCTACATGATTTCATAACTTTAGAAGCAACCAGTATGCACCTTTTAAACAGAAGCCATTAGAGAAGAAGGTAATAAACGGATAGTGTTGTGGTCAATACAGTTCCATCATCCTTGCCCAGGGTACTGAAGTACATATAGAGCATGCAGATTGCCCCAACCTGGATCTAGTGTTTAAACTATAGGGAATGAAAGCATCACTTCCTCTAATGAAGATGGCTTTCGTAAGGGTGACGTCTGTAATGAATGTAAGTGGATATCCCCATGCAGGGTGATATGAGGAGTGCCTGGAGTTCTTCTCTCTCTCTCCCCCCATACAGTTATCACCAGATCCAGGAATCACATGTTCGCTCAGCTGCCGTGACATGAGTAGGGGGTGGGACACTCCCAGGGCATGATAGAGATGGGGCACACTCTAGGAGTGAGGGGGGTGCACTCCAGGAGTGGAGGGGTGGCACTCCCGGGAATGGAGAGGGCAGTGGGGGATTCTCGCCCAGGAGTGGGAGAGCTCTGCCAGGCAATGTGGAGAGCACACTACACAGTGGTCTGGGGATGACAGATCCGGGGGGTTTCAATGCGAGCTGTGTTGATAAAATACCCGGAGAGGAAGGGGGTAACCGCTCCCATAGGTGGGTGTGACGGCTCAGACAGGCCAAAGCTCCCGTAGGAAACCGTGACAGCTCTCCGGGATGGGGATGGGTTATTATGGGCTGTCCTATAAGGTGACAGCTTTCAACTCGGCTGACCGGGGCGCCCTCTCTGAGGCCCCCCCTCCCCCCATGTCAGTCATCGGACAGCCCCCCCCCCTCCTCCTCCTCCCCCATGTCAGCCATGGGACAGTCTCCCCTCCTCCCATGTCAGTCACCGGACAGCCCCTCCTCCTCCCCATGTCAGCCATGGGACAGTCTCCCCCCACCCCATGTCAGTCACCAGACCCCCCCTCCTCCTCCCCCATGTCAGCCATGGGACAGTCTCCCCTCCTCCTCCCCATGTCGGTCACCGGACCGTCCCCCCCCCCCATGTCAGCCATGGGACAGTCTCCCCCCAGTCACCGGACAGTCCGTCCCCCTCCCCATCCCAGTCACCGGACAGTCCCCCTCCTCCCAGTCACCGGACATCCCGTCCCCCTCCCCATCCCAGTCACCGGACAGTCCCCATATCAGTCACCGGACAGTCCCCTCCCCATGTCAGTCACCGGACGTCCCCCTCCTCCCCATGTCAGTCACCGGACATTCCCTCCCCCCTCCTCCCCATGTCAGTCACCGGACAGTCCCCCTCCCTCCCTCCCCATGTCCCGGACAGTCATGTCAGTCACCGGACAGTCCCATGTCAGTCCCTCGTCAGTCACCGGACAGTCCCCCCTCCCCATGTCAGTCACCGGACAGTCCCCCCCCTCCCTCCCCATGTCAGTCACCGGACAGTCCCCCCCCCCCCCCTCCCTCCCCATGTCAGTCACCGGACGGCCCCCCCCTTCCTCCCCATGTCAGTCCCCGGACAGTCCCCCCCTCTCCCCATGTCAGCCCCGGACAGTCCCCCCTTCCTCCCCATGTCATCCCCCTCCCCCCATTCAGTCCCGGACAGTCCCCTCCCTCCCCATGTCGGTCCCCGGACAGTCCCCCTTCCTCCCCATGTCAGTCCCGGACTGTCCCTCCCTCCCCATGTCAGTCCCGGACAGTCCCCCTTCCTCCCCATGTCAGTCCCCGGACAGTCCCCCCCTCCCTCATGTCGGTCCCGGGTCCCCCCCTCCCTCCCCATGTCAGTCACCGGACAGGCCCCCCTTCCTCCCCATGTCGGTCCCCGGACAGTCCCCCCCTCACCCATGTCAGCCCCCGGACAGTCCCCTTCCTCCCCATGTCAGTCCCCCTCCTCCCATTCAGTCCCGGACAGTCCCCCCCTCCCCATGTCGTCCCCGGACAGTCCCCCCCTTCCTCCCCATGTCAGTCACCGGACAGTCCCCCCTCCCTCCCCATGTCAGTCCCGGACAGTCCCCCCTTCCTCCCCATGTCGGTCCCGGACGTCCCCCCCTCCCTCCCCCATGTCGGCCCCCGGACGGTCCCCCAATGTCAGACCCCTGGCCCCCCCTCTCCCGGCCCCCCGCCCGTACCTGCTGTGTGTGTTGGGCGAGCGGTGTGGCGATGTCCGTCATGGTGTTGGCCCGTAACCCTGGCCGGGTGTGTAATCCAATATAGGCGGAATGCAGTGTTTCGGTATCCGTGTATCCGGCCGCTCCGCTAGCTGTCTCCGTCCCGAGTGCCGATCTGACAGGAAAGTACGGCAAGAACGGCCAAAGTCAAACGGTTACAGCCCGCTGGCCAATAGGAAGCCGGCATCAAACGGGCCACGCCCACATTGGAATGACGAAACCTAGGAAGAAGACATCTTCACCCCTCACCCGCCAACCACGCCCCCTTTGTTTTAACACGTTATGTCCCGGATGGAAGTTTGGACTGATTGCTGTCACTGTTACAGTTTCCAATACATTGTGTTTATTAGAATATAAAGCTGTTTCACTCTGTTTATTGTGTTTGTGTATATGTACTGTATATGCATAGTATTGTTGTGTTTATTATTTGTATGTTTTTTCTTTACTGTAATATTTTTTTAGGCTTGGTATTTCTTAGAAGTTCCACTTCCTCAAATATTTAACAGAACAGATTGCATATTTAAGTGGGGAAGTATTAAGAATAAAAAAATAAAAATAATAATACAGTATTCAATATATGTTTTTTTGGCTTTTTTTATTTTGGGTTCTTGAAAGTGGATACATGTTTTATGAATATACTTAATATTTCTAACTTCAAATGTTTTGGTTGGACTGTTTGCTCATGCCACACATTTACATATACACATAACTATCCATATTAGTTATGTTTTTTGGGTACAAATATAAACAAACACTCCAAGCACAATAACCACTATAACAGTGCGCTGTAGTGGTTATGGTTACAGGAGTGCCCAAATAATGTGAATAGGCAAACCACTCACAAAACCATTTTGTGGGCCCTCACTAACACATGCACACAGGTATAAACTTATAGAGACATTCCGAGACAAACAAAGACAGATACTCCCAGACACACAGAATTCAATCGCCTTAACAAACCGAACTGCATAGCATTAAAGGGCCCCATGTAAGCCCCAGAACTCAACTTGACCCCTTACCACAGCACTGACTATAATTCCCTGATGTCAGCTCAGTCATTGAGCTGGCCCTGCACTGCAGTGCTTAGGTTGGAGAACTAACAAAAGTTCCTTCGAGGAATCTTCTCTTAGTGATCCAAAAGAGCGGCTCTGTTACCCGGTGTCAAGAGACATTTTTAGGCGTGTTTGCACTGCACATGAAGTAAAATACAGGACACTTCAGCAGCACTCCGTACACAAACAACCTCGATTTTCCAGTTTTGCTTAACAGGTTACTCCAACCATCATGATCACTTCTGCTTTTTGACATGGTTATGGTATAAGCAATCTATATGTGCAATTTGCTGTTTTGTGCCTAAGTTGCACCCACAGCAAATGCAACTTAGGCAGCCCAGAACACTGACCCGAACTGCCTACTATGTGAGTTCTGTGCAAAAATTACCACGGTCGACAACATATTTTTATGCATGCAGGCAACAGGCTTAATAAGATTCTACCCTTGCAGGCAGCACTGCGAGTACACCTGAAAGGGGTAGCTTCAAAGAGCCTTCCCCCTCTCCCCCCCCCCACTCTCTCCCACCCCATACTGCCTCCCGCTATCATTTAGAACATTGTTTTTATATATGTATATATTAAAGAGCCTCCCTCTCTCCCCTCCCTTACTCAGAGCGTGCATGCGCACCGATCTGGGGAACACGGTCCAAACCAATGCCTCTCATGGAGAAGGAATATTTGGATGTTGGATGATGTGGTGTGATGACAGGAGGGGTATGGAAACAGCCAACTAGGACCTCATCCGGCAATGGATTCAAGGTAAGTTTAAAGATAATTTTTTTTTAATTTTGTTTGTTTTTTTAGTAGAAAAATAAGGAGTGTCAAGTGAAGCATAATAAAGCGTAAATAGGATATGGAGAAAAGTCTCCTAGTAACCCTTTAATAAACATCAAACATCAGGAAAAATACACTCTTTATACTAATTACACTGCATCCACGTTTCTGCAAGAGGGCTTTGCCAGTCTGTTTTCTCCAACTGGAATGGATGGACCATAGGTAGAGCACCGGGAGAATGGTGGTGCCTTCCTAACTGTCACTGTAATCAATGTAGTGGCAGCTGTGGTTGTAGGCATGGTAGATTTTGACCTGTGACTGATGACGTACCAGCCAGAGACCCTTGGGGTTCAGTGGATTAAATCTATGACTCACTTCTACATCTAATTTGGGCTGTGTTTCCAATTAGTGCTCCTACTGAAAATGTACACACAACCCTCAAACTTGTGCCTGAGTATTTGCAAAAGCTTCATTTACATTTTTTTATTTTTATTTTTTTAAATGAACTTATAACAGGCAAGCAGATATAGTTGTATACATTACATATACATCATATACATAATTATTGCGTAATAAGCCATTTGTGAACACAAAAGGATGTTGTGTGTGGTAAGAGTCAGTTTTCTAAAACTTTCATCATTTGTAATTATGTCAGACTGAAATAATCATCAAACATTTTTTAAAATATGTTTAATTAGCATTGATGTGGTGTGCTGACCGCCGGTTCAGTTACACTGCACTGGCTGTAGCTTTCTGGGAAAAAAAAAATATATATATATATATTATGTTTGTTTAGCTTGTGGCTTTTTACAGAAATCCTTTACTGATATCTTACAAATATATAAATCCTCCCGTATAAACCAAGACACGCGATAATGGCAAGGCATTATCCGCTATGACTGTATTTATAGAGGGAAAATCATACTTTTTGTATTTATAGAGAGGGCAAAGTATAGGTGTAACTAGAAAAGCTACAATTTCTGGGGAAATTGTGTGAAGTGTTCTTGCCTCCACCAGTAGTCTACAACTAGGGATCAAGCAATTATCGGTTTCACTGATATTATCGGCCGATATTCAGTATTTTCTGCAATATCGTTATTGGCCACTAAAGATACCGATATTGCCGATATTGATAGAGTGAGAAATGCATTTCAACTTTTATTTATTTATATAGCACATTTAATTGCAACGTTGTTGCACAGATACATTAAAACATACATTTATAAAAACATTAGCAGGTGTACAAAAGGCCCTGTCTATGACATCACTTGCTGCTGCAGCTTGGCACAGGTCAGAGTATTTTGGCGGTTGCCATCTTCAAATAGTCGTATTTTAAAAACTATAAATCCTACAGCGAAGAGCTTTATATTGTGAGAATCACAAGACCCAGACCTACAGTTTGATGCATAGTATGTCTCTATATTATTAACAATTTTAACAACGAAGGCACAGTCGCAGTTCAGAAATTGCCCTTCAAATTTGAGATGGCTAGAGTGAATTTTCAATGAATGTCAATGGACGGTGTGAGTTGCAAGCAAATGGTCATATTGTGAAAACTACCAGGACTATGGCTTAGCTGTGGATATGTTTAGTGGCAGCAGGGATAGCTGAATGTTTTGATATAAGATTTGTGTAGGTGGGCTTGAAAATAAGGGAGTGTTGGCAGTTTAGAAATCATGTCCTGATTTTTCAGCTTTTGCCAGCTCCCACTCTAGTTTTGAACATTTTGCCATTCATTTCTATGGGACCAATTTTGCCACAAGAACGACGATATTCCGTGAACCATTCGGCGAAACGTTCCACAAAGTAATAGCACTCCAATCGGGAACAATTCGCACGTTCCGGTATATTACTGTCAATGTAGTGTAAAAACTGTGGGAGGAATTAGGGTGGCAAATTTGGGTATAATAAGAATAAGAACTAGAAAAGCTACAATTTCTGGAGAAATTGTGTGAAGTGTTCTTGCCTCCACCAGTAGTCTACAAATGGAGTGGATGGAGTAACTGTCATTATTTATTTATATAGCACATTTAATTGCAACGTTGTTGCCCAAAGTGCTTCACGGTTACATTAAAACATACATTTATTAGGGCGGAGCCTGACAGCCATGCAGAGCGGTGGCATACTACATGGGCTCCGAGGCAAAAACCCACAAGCGGATAAAATAAACAGGAATAAGCCCTCAAATATGCCTGCTCAACAGTCCCAGCATATGGGGTCTTACGAAGCGGCAACGAGCGCCAAGAGACCCAACCGCAAGCGACAGCCTCTCACCGGGGATCAACCTGAGGCCTACGGAGGCCCTGACCAAGCGACACAAGGGAGGCGGCCGATCCCTCCACCGCAACAGCCTTCTTGGCTGAATGTCTCCCCAGAAAAATCTACCAACCCCCCCCCCCATGCCGGCGGGGGTCATCCCGGCAACCACAAGCAACGATCCAGCATCAGAGAGCCGACCCAGACCTACCACGGCAGCCACGAGGCATCCTGACTCAGAACAGTTTGACCTGGAGTACAGGCTCAACAAAATTTTCAATGATTTCTTGCCGAAACTGGAGGACAGGAGGCTTCAGACTGTGCTAGCGCAGCCACATACACACTCACCTCCACAGCTGATTGCGCCCCCACGTCGGACAACTACGGCTCCGGCGGAGATGAAGGCCCCAAGATGGCGGCGAAGCAGGAGGCTCCCATCCCTCTGACAGTGGGCAGCACGCAAACGGGTCTTACCCCGAGCCAAGACAGGGTCTTTTCAGGCATTGAGCCAGCGCAGCAGGGGGAAACATCTCCCGCCCACAGACCACCGGAAGAATGGGGACCATGCACCGGAGCAAAGAATCGGAGAGCCGCGGACCCGCCGGTCGCCCAACCACCACCCAGATCGTACCAAGCAGCAGCAGGCGCTCACACAGGACACACACCCTTACGAGATAAAGCAGAGTAGCAGCTGTCCACCACTGCAGCCCAGCAGATCCAGGCACACGAGAACCACAGAGGCCCCGTCTACAGGCCTCAGATGAACACGCTCCAGCAGAGAACAACTACCCCCCTGCAGCATGGACTCTAATATCAGAAAGTTGCCTCATTACTGCAGTGTAAGGTCAGCTGTAAATTTAATACAGCTGCTGCATTCAAGTGCCTCAAAGCCTATTGCGGCTGGAGGGTATTCAGGACTTACCTCTGGCAAAGAGCCTGTGTACCAAGCGTTATTCCTGCTAAGTACTCATTTCCTCCTTCTTTTATTTTTCATGCCTGCTACCCACTTGCCTTGTCCCTGAGGCCTCTATGAGTTCACATACTTAATTGAAAATTGCATGGCAGGTTAGATAGCTAACATAGAGAATTACCACTGATAGACTGTATTAACCCTTGTTTCCCCTCTTCCTTTTTGCTACTTCATCTAATGCAGCCAGTAAAGTACAACATTTCAGTAGCACAGGCATATAGTTATCATAAAAGGCAGACAAGCTTCAGTTATTGATCTCTACTACTCAATACATCATAATCCTGTTTTATAAGCCATTTTTTCGCCATTTATTCTCTTATGTTATTCAACATGTCTAGATAGGAGCTGATTTCTGAGAGGCTTTTCTCCAAACTACAGATATGTTCGACAAGCCTGTTATGTTACAACTTTACTTAAAAATGTGTGCAGTAATCGTTTGTGCCATGAGCCTATTAAACTGTGTAAATTACACTCCTTGTTAATGCTTTTGTGGCATGGCAAGAGCGTATGTTTATTATTTGCACCACAAAAATAAAGAATAAAAAAAAAATATTATAAAAACATTAGCAGGTATACAAAAGGCCCTGTCTATGACATCACTTGCTGCTGCAGCCAGGCACAGGTCAGAGTATTTTGGCGGTTGCCATTTTCAAATGGTCGTATTTTAAAAACTATAAATCCTACAGCGAAGAGCTTTATATTGTGAGAATCACAAGACCCAGACCTACATTTTGATGCATAGTATGTCTCTGAAATATTAAAAATGAAGGCACTCAGTGTAGCGTAGCTGGGCGGCAGACCGCGGTACAAGAGCATCTATTTCCTGTACCCGGCCGGACTGACAGGAAATGCTCACTGAGAGAGCACTTCCAGTTAGTCTGGTTGGGTACTGGAAACAGAAGCTCATGCACTGTGGTCCACCACCCTCGCCCCCCGGTCATGTTACAAAGATAGGTAGGAGCCACAAGGGGGGAGGGAAGAGGAGGACCAAGAAGGGGAGTAGGGTGGGGAAGAGAGTGAGGACCAGTAAAAGGGGGGGAGGGGTGGGGAGAGAAACACTGAGGGGGAGGTAGGACCACTAAGAGAAGCAGAGGAGGAGGAGCGAGAGGACCACTAAGGAGTTGGGGTAGAGACAGGACCACCAAGAGGGGGGGGGGAGAAACAATAAGAAACAAACACTGTATCCCCTATACACACACACACTACATCTCTTACGCAAATGGGTATCCTTATACACTACATTCCATAAGAACACACACATTATATCTGCAATAACACACACAACACATCGCCTACACACATACACTCCAGTCCCTGTGAGCGAACTCAAGGGTGTGCCATGTAGGTGGACTTATGGGAACCCAGACATTGAGCTGTGTAAGGGGCCCCAAAAATGGAGCTGCTTCCTGTTCATTGATTTTTGTAAGCACTGTTACAAACAGCCTTCAGAGAGCGTGTTCTACACTAGACCAGTGGAGCCAGGCTGCAGCCTGAGCCCATCATCCTCTTGTCCTCATCTGGTAGTAAGTAGGCAATCCAGTATATTATTAGTGGCACTAATCTCTATTTTACCTCACATTATAGGGACACTATAGTCACCAGTACCACTACAGCTTACACATTATTAAGGGGGTTGGGGTGACACCATGAGTTACCGCACCGGGTGACACCAACCTAGTGATACCACTGAAAATCAGTGTTTATTAGATATAAAGTAAATGAAACCATTGAACTAGTAATTTTTTAATTAGGAGTATATCTTAAACCAAAAATTGCAGATCTCTTGTCTGCTGCCTTTGCAAGCCCTCCTCTTCTAACCAAGCCCTGACTTTCTGTGGCTGTCCTATCACAGACTTCCCAATGTTTGCAAAGCAGGTGCTCAGAACAATTGCTGCCTCTTGCATTTATCTCCACTGAGCTAACCAAGCCAGGAAGTAACAGGATTGGTTGTCTGCTTAAAAGGCAGGGGAGGGTGTGGACCTGGTTAATTTAAAGCGGCACTGTCATGCCGAATCCCGTTTTTTTTTTTTAACCCCTCTCCCGCCTCTACTACATCCAATTGACTCACTAGTCACCCCCAAATGCCCCTAAGCCCCCCACATGACCTATTTTGTATTCCTTATTTTCTGCCCCGATCTTGATTCAGGGCGCCGCCATCTTTGTGTGGGTAGGTGAAGTCCCCTAGGCAGACTGTGAGATTCCCGCACATGCCCAGTGAAACACCTGGACATGCGAACGGGAATTTCATCTATTCATTCATTCATCAGACAGACGAATGAGTGAATAGAAATATCAGCTGAACAAACTAACACAATGTATCAGTGTTAGTTTGTTCGTTCAGTTTATTACAAGGAGGGAGCTACCGGCGTGCAGCTCCCTCCTTGTAATATGTAACTATAGAAGCGGCAGGGAGCAGTGCTCCCCACCACTTCATAAGTCCACCCCCAGGTCCCACTTAATCTATGGGGGTCAATATGACCCCCATAATAGCACAAGGGAGATTAAAATCTCCCCAGTGCCCCTACTCGCTATACCGCGAGTAGCGGCATGTCTACTAAACAGTGAGCAGCCTACGGCTGCTCACTGTTGAAAAAAAAGACATAAATTACAATAAGGGGGGGCGGACCTATTGTCCTCCCCCCCTCCCCCACCCTGAGCGGCGGGTGGGGGCCATGAAGATAATGAGGGGGGGGTACCTACTGTCCTCCCCCCCCGGCCCCCATCCCTGAGCGGTGGGTGGGGGCCCTAATAAAACAATAAAGGGGGGGACCTACTGTCCTCCCCCCCTGGCCCCCACCCCTGAGCGGTGGGTGGGGGCCCTAATAAAACAATAGGGTGGGGGACCTACTGTCCTCCCCCCCAGGCCCCCACCCCTGAGCGGTGGGTGGGGGCCCCAGTAAAACAATAAGGGGGGGGGACCTACTGTCCTCCCCCCCGGCCCCCACCCCTGCGCGGTGGGTGGGGGCCCTAATAAAACAATAAGGGGGGGGACCTACTGTCCTCCCCCCCTGGCCCCCACCCCTGCGCGGTGGGTGGGGGCCCTAGTAAAACAATAGGGGGG